AAGAGGATATCGATACAACATCCTTATTAGAGGCCTCATCCATTTGTGCTTTCATGCGGGACATCAAAATGGATCTTAAAATTTTATATTTACATGAAAGGGATGCGGTCACGGGCACAAGGGCAAACAACCCAAGAAGCCTGCAGCGGTACCGGTATCTGCTCAGAAACATCGCACTGCTGCTTATCGAAGCATTTTGCGGTGATATAAATCTACCAAAATACTTCCATGCTCATTTCAGGCAGGAAATTGCCCCGTTTGGGTTCACTTCGTGAACGTCGTCAGGAAATGCTCTTAAAGATGTCCCGGCGTATATCCGGGTACAAGGCAACGCTGAAACATTTATCATTTTCCCTATTCAGCTAATCTTATATTCTGTGCATAGGTTTTATAATCTCCTTGGCTTTCTGGTCGTACGGGTCACTCGAGAACAGGTAGCTTTGACAGCCCTGACGGCCATTAAGCCAAGAGCAAAAAGTACCTTTGCCGGCAATAAATGGGAGTGAGATGATGCTGGATGCATCTTTGCGTTCTCGTTGGCATTGTACCTTACTCTAGGGACGGGTTTGCTGGGCCCGGGCCCCAAACCCATATGCCGGCATGCAAGTCGCTCACCCTTTCCCCCGTGAAAAAGAGAGCGAATTATGGCGCTGTTTCATTAACAGTAGCAATTAATGTAACTCCTTGCAGCAGGGGTACCTGGCTGTGCATGAACGACTTTCCAAAGCTCTCCTGTAAGCTTGGTTTTCAATCTGCAGCCCCATCCACTGTCAGGCTACAGCTGGCAAGGGGCGCCTACGTTAATTATATAAATCAGAGGAGTGGCCTGCCCTAGGGTGTCCCTGATTTAGCCACGTACGGGTCTCAAGACTCCTCAGCTGCCCACGGGTCCGGACTTGATCTTGCCCATGAGGTACATTCTTGAGTTCTTCTTTCTTTTTCTGAAGCATATTACTCAATTACGGTTGTTCTTGAGATCCCTCAGGTCCTTCAACGCACAGATGGCCTCAAACGATGGATGATTGTGCAATGTACGGATTTCCTGTAGTTGGTCCTATGCCAATCCTGTAAGCATACAATATGTCACTGTTAGTTATAATACGGTAAACAACAATCAAATCGTACTCGGCACATCAAGTTGCCAGGCGACGCGTTTTTCAAGGTGGCGTCGAAAACAGGTGGGCTTGTGCTTGTCTTTAATCGAGCAAATAGCTCAACATACTTTTTGTGCAGTTTCATGGCTGTCCCTTATGGTGAGTTAAATCCCTGAAGCAGCCGCTGACCACCGCTAAAAAAGCCTACAGTCCGCGTCCACTTTCCAGCGTTTGCTCCTCAAGTAACATTATGGCCCTTCTTTGCATGCAGGCTAGCTGTATTAGATCTTTTGCAAGGACCTCTTCTCTCTCTTTCTCTCGGACCCCGCCAAGAGGGCAAGTTTCCAAGAACCTCCCAATCCAAGTGAATCTCATATTGAAGGTAAAGTTCAAGCCAGTAACAAAATACATGATAATTGTAGCGTTATATTATAGCGCCGGAAGAGAAGCACTTGCTGCAAACACCGTCGACTAGGCAATACATAACGGTCTCCGGTTCAACTGTGTCTGCAGCACTAAACCCACAGTGGCTCTTGCCGTGCGCTTGCTCCGCAGTAACACACTCTACCTCCGTCCTCGCCGGCCGCGGACACATATCTCCAGTCCATTGAGGGCAGCCAGACTATAGTGAAGCGCACGCTCCCTGCTCCAACTGCCATGGAGCCCGCTGTCGAGCCCCCCGCCAAGCGCCAGCGCAAGGAGCCAGCCTGGAGAGCCGGCTTTGTTGACCCTAGCAAATGGAAAGAAGTTAAAGACGGAATTGCTATTCTGCCGTCAGCCTCGGAAATCGAAGCCCTGCCCCGCCAACCCCCCGGTAACGCCAGCCCCCCAGCTCCTAGCGGCATCGAGGAAGACACAAGCATCACGAAAGTCCTCGCCTCTCGGCCCCTCGACATCAATCGTGTTGAGGTGACAATCCTGCACAAGGGACGGCGGTACCGCGGCATCGTGGAACGCACGGGCCTGCCACAGAGCATCGGTATAGCCACGCAGGTATAACGGAAGCCTACCGCTAGCCAGATTCCCCTCCAGTCCAATGGCACCATCAGAGTCCCCCCGTTGTCGAACCCTTCATGAGCCGCGCTAACGACGCAATTTGGTCTCAGCCGGGAAAATGGCCAGGCCAGGAATGTCGAGTTGGGTTCGGGCGGACTTTTCGCTGAGCAGCAGATGTGGGGCAGATGTGAGGCGGGTGTGGAACACGAAGACCCGGAGAGGCTAGCCGGCGCTGCGTCTGGCACGTGTCGCAGGAGGGTGGTAGAAGATGGGTGGAGAAAAGGGGCAACAAGGGAAAATGTCCCCCGATTCAGACGGAAGAGCATGGGCTGAGGAACAGCCAGCGGGCGCCATCAAGGCCACTAGGGCGGCTCAACCCTTGCAGCCCGCCGCCATGCGCCGAAACTGCCCTGCCCTAGCAAAGCTGCTATCCGTGCCTGCTGCTGTGTACGTCGCTCCCTCACTGGCCAAGACCCGTCCGCGGCCCCGCGTTCCAAGTCGGTCGCCACACGGATCACACACACGCTTGCTTGTGTTCGCGCTTGCCCCGCTCGCTCTTCCCCTCGCTGTGCTGCTGCTGCTGCTTTATCCCTTACCCCACTTGGACATTTTTGTACGTCTGCGGACAATATCCCCTGCCCCTCCCGGTCCCCACTCACTCCCGACGTTCCGTTCGGGTGTCCTGACTGCCGCGTCAAGGTGACGAAAGAGGAGCTCGCAGCCATCGCCGCTGCCCCCCCTCACGGTGAGAACCCAAGCAACATGTGCGCTCTGTGCAATACGGCGCTCGAGGTCGCGCCCGTACACGGTGAGTCAGTGCGAGCACACGAACTGTGGACTCGACGCAACATGGCCACCCCCCTGCCACCACCATGGCCCCTGTCACTGCCCTCACAGCCGTTGCCGCAGGGGGCTCTTCCAGGGAGTCCCCTTGCCAGGATCCCACCATCTACTTTCCTTCTTGGACTGTAACGTTTCCCGCCTGGGTCAGGTATCTCCGACGACAAGGCGGGTGTGTACCTCAAGGTGCGCATCACCTCCAACTGGACGGCGCGGGTGCACCTGCAGTGCGCCGTCTGGTGCCCAGAGTGCAAAGAAGACCCCTTCGTGCCCGGATACTACGTGAGTGTGCGGCATGTGGGGAGCAAAACATACCGATGTGTGGGGTTGGGGGTGGGTGGGGGTTGGTTTAAGAAGTGACGCCGCACATCCAGGATGTTAGGAGGAGGTGTCGACCACACCAGGGTGTACCACACGTGTGTGTGTGTGGGGGGGTGCTCTCCAACGGCTTGGTGGGAAAGTGCGCAGGAACGTCGGATGTACGCGCAAGGGGGTGGCAGCGCGCGAGGGTGTTCTGGATCCGCTGTCCGGTCGGAAGGTGGATCCTGGGGGAGAGGAGGAGTAGGAGTAGGAGGCGGGGTCGCTAAGGGGCTCTCAGCGATTTACGGCAACCCACTTTAGCCGCCATGGGCTTCCAGGTTGCAAACCGCACTGGGGGGAAAAAGTTGTCGGGGGCTTGTCCTACACGGCTGGGTCGTAAGTTCGGTGATGCAGTGACACCGCCTGCTGGGCTCCGGTCACTCTCCGTGTCTGTGCCCACCCGTTACTGACTTTCCCTTGGTCCCACCGCAGCACCACATGGGTCCGGCGGTGCGGCGGGGCCGCGCCCTGCGCTGCAAGGACTGCAAGCAACGGGGTGCAACGGTGGGGTGCTTCCAGGAGGGCTGCCCGGCGGTGTACCATCTCACTTGCGCAGTCAATACCGGCTGTGCGTTCAATGTAAGCGACAGCTCTTAGGTACCCGCTACTGACGGGAATGCGTGGAGGTTATGGATTATGTAAAGGGGGCGGGGTTTGGGAGTAAGGTACCCTGACATGTATCATGGCCGGGGATCTGCATCACTACGCGACCCAGATGAGTTTCTTTGCTTAGACTTAGACTTTTAGGTGTCATGGATTGTTGCCTAGCGTTGGACAGCTGTCCCTGAAGCGACAGCGGCTGGTGCCTTCCGTTACGTTTTTCCCCCTACGCCGATGTGTTCATGTGCAGGAAGAAACTATGGAAGTTTGGTGTCCACAGCACATCCGTTAGCTGTTGCATGAAGCCCGAGGTCATGATCACGGGAAAGCGGTAAAGCAGGCGATTAGATAAGAGCACGCTGTTTTGCGTCTGATTGTGGTAACGGTCAACGACTTTGCTAGCAAGAACGTGTCTAACGTGATTCTGGGTGTGCGTCTCGTGTGCATTTGCAAAAAGCAAGATGTTTGGATTCTAATGAAAGCGAAGGGCGCTGCTGCTGGCACGTAACACCCTGAAAAGGTTGTTACCTGGCGCGTCAAATGCGAGTCGTGGTAGTGCAGGGACTGCAATTGGCCTAAAAAGGACTTGCTGTCTTCCTGAATTCTTATCTTTTTAAGCACAGTAGAGGGTTGCAGTAGGAATGTTGAAGACATTGGTCGTTTTTGCTGTATGTTTTTGTCGCGTGTCGAGAGTCCAGTAGGCAGGGTGAAGACCTGGTAAGCGTAATGATGTATGAAAATAAGACATGCAAGGTTGTCTATGGGTTGTACGTGCAGATCATGTGCGGAGGGTTTCGCCTTTGCGCTGCCCGGTGACCCGCCTGCCGTCTCCTAGAAATCAAGGCGCCTTGGCAGTCGACCTTCTGCCAACGGCAACCATGCCTCGACTACTTGTTAGCAACTTTTAATCCTTCCAAGTTATATGTATATATCAGATTTCCTTTACCACTGGAGTATCCTAGAGGGGGCGCCCTTCCTAAATAGAGGATCTCACAAGGCACCAGGACCTGACTACCGAAAGTGTCGCAGATGCCATCTTTGACATATACCTAGAAGTCGATTGCTTCTACCGAGGCTGTTTCGGCAAGGGCTGGCGAAAAAGGAGAGAAAATGGAGCCAGCGGACGGGTCAGCGGGCGGTCCCACAGGTGGGATTTCATATCGTAGTAGCAAGGCACACAGTAAGTCGCTACCAAGTCAATGCTTGTAAGACTGTGCCGGCAGGATCGACCTTTTTCGCGCCGGCGCCCGATTGAGGTTGGAAACCGTGCGGATATCCCCTGGCAGAACTGTGCCTCCTGCTTGTCAATACTCAGGGGGCAGTGACGCTCTTTCAATGGTCACAAAAAAGTTAGCAGGATGACATGTTCGGTCCCTCGCGGTGAATAGCTCTCCCCTCCACGCGCGCCCGCGGCCACAGACGCCAAGGCGAAGGCCCCCGCTAAGCCCCGGCAAAATAAGACACCGCTGCAGAAAGAGGTCCTGGAGGCTTCGTATCAGCGTAAGTACGGCAGTGCAGTCGCTGCTGTTGTCCGTACAGTTGCCTCCTAGCCATGCAAACGTTAAGCCTGCGGCCTCCCATGGATCCAGCACCCGCAACCACCTCCTGCAAGCTTTGCTCCTGTGTCGTGTAATATTGTGAAGCAACACTTTTCCTTCGGATCTCAAGCTCGGTTTTCTACTTCCCAACGCGTATAATCCCCCTCCCGGATTTCCGCATGCTATGCTGTTGCCTACTTGTCCTTCCACCATTTTCTGGGCTGGCGTTCAGTGAACCAGCACCCCTCGGTGGAGCACCGCAAGGCTTTGGGAGACCGCATTGGGCTGACTGAACATGAAGTCAATGTACGAGGGTGTATGCACGTGTGTGCGTGTGTGAATGTAATGTGTATGTGTGTGCGCGCCGCGGTCAGGGTTATTGCACTGAAGCTGTTGGAAACGCCTGGCTGCATATGGGACGGAAATTTGGGTGTGAGAGGGGCTTTCCTTGGGCCATGCTTCAGCTCGGGACACTCCATAACACTCCGGGGAAGCATTTTAGACGTGCTTCAGACGTGTGGTACGGATGCGCGTGCATCTGCGCCCATAACTGCGGGGCGAAGTCCAGCGGCCCTTACAGTCTTTTCCCCGGCGCGCGCGTGCAGGCGTGGTTTACGAACCGCCGCCGGCGAGACAAGCAAGCGGAGAAGAAGGCGGCAGCGGCGTCGTTGTCTGCTGGCGGATCGGCCGGCACCCCGGGCGGCGTGACGCCGGGCGGTGCCGGCGGCACGTCTCCTTCGCCTGGCGGAGCTGCCGCAGCCGCCGCTCCGGTGGCGGGGGCGCCCGCAGGTACCTTGCCCCACGTACCGCCTGTTGCCCCTAGCCCAGGAGCTGTAGCGGCCTCGCCGAAGCCTAAGGCACCACGTGCGCCGAAACCACCCAAGGCGTCTCCAGCAGCGGTGTCGCCTGGGCCTGCAGTCGGGGCTGCCCAGGTTGTCCCTGCGCCTGGCGGCCCTGCAGGCCTCGCACGTCACGTGCCGCCGCCACAGCAGCTCGCGACGACCGCGGCGGCGGCGGCAGCTGCCAGCGGCGGCGCTGTGAGCTGCCCCGATGCGGAGGAAGAGACGGAGGACGCCGACGATGACGCTTCGGACGCCGCCGCGGCCGCGTGGGAGGGCATCAGAGCACTTTGCATGGCAGCGCGCGCAACGCTGCCTGTGCCGTACTGCGAGGACGGCCCACAGTTGGGGTTCCTGTTCGATGAGCCGCCCATGCCTGGGGAACTTTCAGCGGCGGGTGGCGGCAACAAGCGGCGACGCATCGTGTTGGGGAATGATCTCGTGGCGGAGGCGGACGAGGAGGGGGTGAAAAGCGTGCTGCTGCGGAGGCCCGGCGGAGGGAAGGCCGGCATCCAAGGTGGTGTCCGGTGGCGCCTCGACTGGGCTCAGCTTACCTTTGGTGGCTAGGCTGGGCTGGGCTGGGCTCGCAAGCAAAGCGCGAGACCCTAATAGGTTGTTGTGAGATCCTTCACCTCTGCAGCTATCGAGGCTATCAAGGCCGCGGTGCCTTTTGTCAAGGTGGCTCTGCTGTACTGTGCGCAAATAGGGAGTGATCTCGGAAGCCTAGACCACTCCAGCTGTTTCATTTGTACTACCGTACGCTCAATTGTCGCACCCCCAGGCGGCGGCCCAGTGGGTGTGATGACGGTGGCGGAGTTGGAGATGCGGCGGCGGGAGCTGCACCTGCAGCAGCAGGCACTTGAGGAAGCCCGGCAGGATGACCCGGATTACAAGAGCGGGGGACGCAAGTCGGAGGATGCGATCAAGAGGGTGAGTGGTCGGGCTCGCGCGCACGTGCACGTGTGCATGCTTGCCGTCGCTTGCAGCGGGGGGGCCCCCGGCCCAACCAACCCTTTTCCCATGCACATGCATCGCGGCGGCTGTCGCGCTCTTAGAGACGCCTGCGCTCCGATCTGAAGCGTTGGAGAAGGCCTCTCGACGGAGCTGACCATTCCATATGAAAAGCCCTTGTTATAACCTTTTCCCCTGCTGCTGCCTTTGCCGCTGTTTTGGAGTTGATGTGCCAGCAAGGAGTAGACAGGAGCAAAGCAACGTCGGGGGTCTTATGGCAGATCGTTTATGTTCCTCTGCCAGCTTGCTGCCCAGTAATGTTTCCCCGGCGACGGCGGTCCCGGTGATGCCCTTGTTACCCTGTATGGTCCTCCAGGAGCAGGAGCGGCTGCGCAAGGAGCTTCTGCGCCAGCAGGAGAAGCTGGAGCGAGACCGCAAGCGCGAGGAGGACGAGCGCAGCCGGGAGATGGAGCGCCATGAGCGGGAGCGCAAGAAGATGGCTGACAAGATGGAGAAAGACCGGGGTGAGGGGAGCTGGGGGCGACGGAGAGCCAGCAAAGCCTGACAACAGCCACACATGACCGCCCCGGGGGATTTTCGCGGACATGCGCGCTGTCTGTCTTGGCGATGGCGGTGGTGGTGGTGGTGGGGATTTGGAAGAGGTTTAAGAGAACGGGGTGGCTTCCATATACGTGAATGAGTAGCCCGGAGGTATGGCTTGGCCGGGGGGATGCGGCTAAGGGGAAAGGGGGCCTGGGCCTGTGAGTGTTGCATGCGTGTGGGTGGGGTCTAGGGCAAACCGCATCGGTGGAGAGCAAGACGTCCCAGCTGGGCTATCGATTGGGCTAGGTTCGACTTTGCTTCCTTTAGGTCCATTGGGTCCATGGTGGTGGAGGGGAACCCTGAGCCATGTGAATGCGGAGGATGTGGGGCATTTAGGGAGCTGGCTTGGGCCGGGCAGGTCCACCGCTGATGTCCGAGTCGTCGGCTTCACCGCACGTTCTTCAATCGGTGTCCTGATCATCCTCCCTTCGCGTTTAGCGGGGCCTTTTTGCGCGCTCTTTGTCGTCTTCTTTCCTTCCATTGGGAGCAGCCAAGGAGGAGGCTCGCAAGCTCAAGGAGCTGGAGAAGCTGAAAATCGCGGAGGAGCGGGAGCTGAAGCGATTGGAGGCTGCCAGGGAGAAGGAGCGCAAGGCAGAAGAGCGGCGCAGGGCGGTCGAAGAGCGCAAAAAGTGAGGGTGGAGGCGGGCAAGGCTGCCGCGTGGCTGGCCTGGGCAGGGGCAGGGGCTAACACGGGGCTCCGGGCTGGGAGAAAGTGGAGGCGGACGCGGACTTGGAAAGGGGCCCGGACGACCGCAAGGCTTTAGAATGCCTTAGACGGCGTTGCTGTGTTTCTTTTTACTCTGTCCTTGCCGTCCTGCGCCCCTCCCCCCTTGTACATTCTTTCCTTGGCAGCAGCTTCACTCGTTCGTGGCTCGTGCCTTGCCGCCTCTCCGTGTAAACGGCCAATGCCCTCGTGTCGCTGCTTGGCTCTGTTGGCGCGTCCTCCGCCGGCCGCCGGCGGTCTTCGTCGTTGGCTGTGTTCGACTCGTCCTGACCTCCCTAATTCAACCTGGAACCTTACCGCCCTAACCTTTTCGTCCGGTAGGGAGAAGGAGAATGCTCGTGCGCTGGCGCAGCAGGAGCGTGCTGTGCTACGCATGCGGCACCGGGAGAGTGCCAATGGGCCCCCGGACGACGAGGAGTTGGAGTACCGCAAGCTTCTTATCGCCGCCGGGATTGACCCGGCCACGGTTGCCGATGCCGATGAGGACGCCGCAGCGGCAGGCGCCGCCGCCGGCGAAGCCGCTGCTAGTGCTTCGGTGACGCCGCCGCCACCGCCGCGCAAGCGACCCCGTCCCGATCTGCCTCGCCCGGAGTTCCCGCCGCCTTCACTCGGGTTGGAGCCAGCCTGGCCGGCCTCCTATGACGCGGAGGGTGAGGCGGCGGCGGATGGTGGTGTTGGAGATTTTGGCACGGGTCCTGACGGCTTGGATGACGACATTGGCAGCGAGTTACTTGTGTGCTGGAGCTTCCTTCAGAGCTTCGCGGACTTGTTCGGCGTGAAGGTGCCCTCCCTGGAGGGCCTGTTGGAGGCCCTGGCGGAGGGCGAGGAAAGCCGTCTGCTGGCGGACGTGCATTGCGCATTGCTGCGGCTGATCCAGGCGGATATGGAGGATGCGCACGACGAGAAGGAACGCGTCGGCGTAAGTCATCATCCGTCAGGATGGCTTTTGGTGTTGGGGTGTGGGCGGATGGAAGGAAGGAACCCGCAAGGCCTTAGACACAGCATGGCTCGGGGGGCTGAGTGAGACGGGTTTCCCGGGCCACAGCCTTATGGGAGTTGCCTGCTCGCGTGCGTGCTTTGGTCTGCACCCAGCATGATGACTCCTGGAGAGACGACCCAAATGGTGGGCTTAAAGTTTTGTTGCTCGCATGTCAACTCATACCTGTCCTCGCAACTTGACGGCTCTGCGCTTAGAAGCCTCCTGAATACGTAAACTCGTGTTGTGTACATGGTTGGGCGGTGACGACGTGCAGCGGCAAACGGCTGCCGCGCCCAACTTCATGGACCGCTCCGTCGTGGGGTCGGCGCGGCGCTTGGAGGAGGCGTGGGCGTGGGGCTACGACGTGGACTGCTGGCGGGCGCATCTCAACGCACTGACGTGGCCGGAGGTGTTGCGCCAGGTGGCAGTTGTGGCAGGGCGCGGCCGTTCGCGGCCGCCGATACGGCGCTCCGCGGCGGACGGCACCAAGGGCCCGCGCATCCAGGGCATCGAGGGCGAGGACGTGGTGGACGACGGCAGCAGCGGCGGCAGCCTCAAGCTGCGCATGCCATCGAGATACGTTCTAGGAACGGTGAAGGCGGCTGCGTGGCAGGTGCGGTGCTGAGCTCCTGGCTTCCTAGGCCTGGCTGTGGCGACGGCGCCCGCCCTTCTGGCGTAGCGGCGGCCACGATTTGGGAGTATTAAAATGTCACCGTATTTGGAGTGCGCTAGCTCTCGCGTTATAACTTGGTGGTCACTCCTAGCGCTTAATCAGGCATCAATTCTCTGTAGAAGCAGGTCCCGCAGTGTTATGCCGAGGGTTTGCATGCACAAAGCACACATCAGCAATTATGACATATCCTGGCATAGCACCAAGTGCACCTTGGCACATCACTTGGCGCAGCTACCGTAAAAAGGGGTCTTAAGTGCTTCATATGGATATCGGTAGCTGATACGATATTTAAGTTTATCTGATGCGAGTTAGAAGCTTTTCATTTTCCACTTCCTGTCCGCTGCAGGTTCTCGCCAGCACGGGGCCCAGTGGGCTTCCCGTGGCGGAGCTGGTCCGCCGCATTCAACGCACAGGTTTACGAGAGATGCGCTCGTCGAAGACCCCAGAGGCAGTGGTAGCCGGATCCCTCGCGCGTGACGTGCTCTTTATGCGAGTGCAGCCCGCGACGTGGGCCCTCACCTCCGTCGTGGCGTTCGCCAAGCGTCGCAACGAGCAGCGTCGCGGCAGCCGGCACGCGGCCAAGGGCGGCGCCAAGACGGGCGAGGCGGGCGACGGCGGCGCCGACGGCGACGGTGACACGGAGATGGCGGACGTGTCGATCAAGGGTGAAGCTCCGGAACCGGCTGCCGGAGTGAAGCAGGAGCCAGGGTTGAAGCAGGAGCCATCGGCGACGGCGGCTGGCGGAGGCTTAGGCAGCAGGCGGAGGGGCAAAGCAGGAGATGCTGGCGGCTCCCAACCGATGGATGTGGACACCGGTACGGTGAAGCAGGAGGTGAGGGACCAGAGGGAGCTGGCGTTTCGCGGCGGTGGGGGACGGGGTGTTCCGGCAGCGTGGGCATGGAAGTGAAATGAAGGAGAAGGTGCAAGTAGGATCTCACGGGGATGTACCAGACCTCCTTTGATAGAGAGATCACGCAGTGGAAGGACACGGATTAAGGGGACGAGGACAGCTGAGGCGAGGGGGAAATTGGCTGGTGGCATGGCGACGGGGAATCATGCGATTCTGGGGGAGGCGATAAGAGGTGCTTGCTGGGAAGCAGTGTTGCAGTTACAGCTGTAGGCGTCCTCGGAACGCAATAAGTATAACCCATATAGTGTGTCGGGTTAAGGAAGAAGCGTATGCAGGTCCGACGCCGAGTGCCTTGCAGGGCCACGGCCAGGACTAGGCAGTTGAAAGCTGCCGTTATCGCTTTCAGGGCTCACCCTCCTTCTGCGCAATATCGATTGGGGACAGATCCAGTCACACACTTGCGCTCTTGTTGGGCCGCGCCGCCTTGGCTTGCAGGATGTTAAAGACGAAGCTGCAACCGGACCTGCACCGGGGCCAGGGCCGGCGAATGGCCGTGCCGCCAGCGTCGGCGGTGCCGAGGACATCAGCCGCGCCGCAACCGCCTCACCGCCCGCGTCCACCGGAGGCGCAAACCTTGGCGCCGCCGACGTGGCTCAAGGCGGAGGCAGTCAACACCAGCAATCACAAGGGGCTGGGGCTTCGCAACAACCGCAGCTGCAGGACCACGACCACGACGATGAGTCGTACAGCGGTGACGAGGAGGAGGAGGACGGGGAGGCGCATGGCGGCGAGCGAGGCGCCGGTGACCCGTGGGTCAACTCCTTGCTGAGTAGCGGCTACTCTACGCTTGGCCTGCGTGACCGCATCGCCGCAATGTCCTTCTTGTGCCATGCCGTACTGGATGGGCCCACGTTGCGCACCAAGCTCGAGCTGCGGACAAATGAGGCGGCGCAGCGGCGAAAGCAGGTGTTCGAGGATGCCAAGGTGCGGCGGTTTCGGTACTGCTGCTGCTACTGAGCAGCAGTAGCTGCATGACCAACAGTACCCGTGAGAGGCAATCAGTACGGTGTGGTAGCTGACATTTTAGCCAAGGGCCCAAGCCTGTCCCTATCATGCCTCCGCTTTCCTTTCCACCGCGTCATTTGCGTTCGAGTTTTCTGTCATAGCCTGTATATCATCTTCTTAACCCTGCCTACCCCACGTTGCCTTATTCACGCCTTATTCGAACCTGTAGAACGATAAGAGGAAGCGTCAAGAGGAAGCCGCTGCTCGGGCAGCTGCGGCAGCGGAGGAAGCACGCAAGCGGGCGGAGGCCGCGGCTGCGGCAGCAGCAGCGGGCGGCTCTGGTGCCGCGGCCGGGACTTCCACAGGCGGTGCTGGCGGTTCGCGTGGGTCGACGCCCGCGCCGCCGGGCGCGCCAGTGGATCCCAAGGCCATCGCTGGAGAGATCTTCGGGACGGTGGCGGCGGCCGCGCCGCTGACGGAAGGGACGAAGGCAGATGCAGCTCGGCGGGCGGAGGAGGAGGAAGACGAGAAGCAGAAGCGACAGCAACGGGCAGATGAGATGCGGCGGGTATGCACCCGCTGGGGTTTTCCTTCGTTGTCTTCGCGTGTGTCGCACCATGCGCACGTGCCGGGACGTTCTTGGGCTCATATGGGATTAGCTGCTGAGTTATTTGTGCTGGAAAGCGAGGGAGGTGGAAGCCTCAGCCCTCCAACAGACCCGTGACATGAGAGGTCTTTTGCGCGTACCTCCTCGGATAAGCTCCACGCCTCCGTGCCGCCTTTTCGGTCCGTGAATCCGAACAGTTTCTTACCTCGCTCTCCACACCGCCGCGGCGCGCCGTCGGTGCGCCCTCCTCGACCTTTTGGCCTCGCGAGCTTGCCTGCCAGTCCGTAGTTTCCTTACGGCCTTAATTCCTCTCTTGTCTCCTCCCTTCACAACCCCTTTCTCTTGTCTCCCGTCATCCCAACCCTCTTCCCCTGTTTCCAGATCGACGAGGAATGCGCCATTCGGGCCGAGCCGCTGGGCTCTGACCGTCGCTACAACCGCTACTGGCTGTTCACCACGGGCGAGGAAGGCGATGCGGGGTCGGGGCGGTTGTGGGTGGAGAGCGCCCCCGAGGGCACCTGGCGCCTGCTCACCACGCCGCAGCAGCTCGACGAGCTGGTGGCATCTCTGGAGCCCAAGGGTGTACGGGAGGGCCAACTGGCCCAGGCGCTGGCACACCACGCGGATCGAATCAAGCGCTCCATGCCGGGAGGTAGGATAGGGGTCAGGGCAGCACGTGTTGGTGTGGAATGAGGAAGAGATGGGCGGGCTCTGACGTGACCTGCATGCGAATGTTCAATGCTTGGATAGGACAGGGTCTTGGATGGGAGGGGCGGAGAGCTGGCTGCCGCGTAGGATTATAGCTGCTAACCGAACTGGGTTAGGGAGTCGAGATTCAGGGAACGGTTAAGGGAGGGCGTTCGGGCTGTTGTCGACGCGGTTAAGCTGTTGCTGCTGCTGCTGCTACGGTACTGCCGTATAATGGTAAAGGACATGGTAGGCACCAGTGGATCGCTGACCAAACAGCAGGTGAACCATACCCATCCTTTCGCCGCCAATGACAACCCTTCGGTTCTCCTACCCGCGCTACGCAATCCTTCAGCTTCTCCAGTTCCCCCTCCCCCCCGGGCCCTCTCGGGCAGCAGCTTCAATCGTGTGTGGTTCGTCTTTCCCCCTCCCCCCCCTGCCTTCCCCCTCACCCAGCCAGCCCTCCCAAATCCCGGCCTTCCCCCTCTCCTGCTCCTCTTCTCACTTACTCCCAATCCCATCCCCATCCTACACCCTGTAGTGGCGCCGTTGTCCGAGCCCACACCGTTGGACGCGCTGCCTGAGGAAACGCGCGCCGCGCTCACGTCTGCGGCGGCGGCTCGTGCGGAGGTCATCCGGCTACAAGCCTATTCCCATGTGGTTCCTGATGACGACTACACCGCGGAGCTGCAGCTGCCGGACAGCGACTCTATCAGCATGCAGCGATTCAAACGGGACCTGCTACGACTGGAGACGGCCGTGCCGGTGGAGGCCATGGACGAGGGCTTCCAAAGGTATGTTGCTGCCATCTTCTATTCCTTACTCCTGTTGCTATTTCCCCTTGCCTCCTCTCCTCCCTTCCGAACCGACAACGTCATGTAGCCGTCTCACTGTCCTACCTGGTTAGGGTGTTTTCTTCTGTTACTTCGTCACCGGTATCCCGCCATGAGATTTCCGAAGTCCACGCAGCTCTTACAGACAGCTATTTTCCTCATCCATTCCTGCCCCGCGGCTGTGTTCACAATACGCTGATTTCGTGACCAAGGTGTCGCAACGCTCTGCAATTCAATGCAGGATGACCTGGGCGGAACGCGTCCAGACCGCCCCCAGCCCTGCGGTACTGCGCACCTGCCTGGGCCAGCTGGAGGCGGCCCTGCTGCCCTCCCCTGACGGCACCTCGCCGGGGCTGCTGGCCACCGTATTCCACCGCCATCCGCCACTGGTCCGGGGCGCCTGGGTGGAGGTGGGCAAGGAGGTGGCTACGGCGCTGCCGGGGCATGCCTGCAAGGAGGTGAGTGGGCGGGATTCTGGATTGCGGTGGGCTGGGAAGAGTGGTTGTTGGCGGGATTGCAGGGATAGAAATGGTGGGGGATCCTGTCGCTCTTAAGAGGGGAGTGGCGGACGGGCGGGGGTTGGGAGGAAGCGGCAGCACGGCGCGTGTCATTGGCCCTCTTCTAACTATACACCTAGCTAACTACTCCTTTTCGCCTCCCATTGGCCTGTGTGCAGGTCTTGCCGCCAGCTGAGCGCGTCGATGGCCAGCCGCAAGCCATGCCCAGCGACGAGCCCCTCGCCTGGCTGCCTGCTACACTGCCAGCTCTCACGCTGCGGCTGCTGTCCCTGGACGCGTCCATCATCTTCCGCGCTGGTGTGCCTCCTGGACGGGACTCCCAAGCGGGTTACAAGTACACGGTTCGACCCGCGCCGCTGGATGCTCAGCCCGCTGTGGTTGCGGTCTCGGCAGCAGCGGCAGCGGGCCCCCCTCATGCTGACGCGGCGGGAGGGCCCGCGCCGCCGGCATCAGCAGCGCTGCCGATGGCAATCGGCGGCGGCGCAGTGGTGCTCACCAACGGTAAGCAAAGCGGTGCTGCTTCGGGACTCAGGGTAGGGGCATTGAAAGAGCCTCAGGCTAGCGCTGCGGCGCAGACTTCCCGGCACATCATCCTACACTTTTTGTTATTTGGTTGGCGTGACATGAAGGCAGTGTCTTCATTGTGATAGGGCTCTGAACAAGCCTGCTATGGTAAGTAAGCTCAGCACGGGCCGTTTTACCCCCGCATAATTTCGTCCTCTCCAGTCAATGAAACGAAACGTTCCCCCGCAACCGCAATGACAACCAACACGCTTTCGCAATATCGACGCAGTGCTGGCGGACCGCGGCCGGGTCAACCACGCCATACGTCGGGTTCCGGAGCTGCCGCCTGAGATCATGACGCTGCGTGCACGTGAGTTCACCCTGCCAGTGGAGGAGATGCGGGAAAGCGTGGCGGAGGCGGATAAGCAGGGGCTGCTCAACGCTGCATCCGCAGCAGCTGGCGGCAAAGGCAAGGGCAAGGGCGCCGGCAAGGGCGGCTCCGCTGCTGCAGCGAACGGCAGCTCGAAGGCTGGTGCCGCCACAACCGGCAAAGTGGGCTCGCGGTCCGTGGTGGTGGTATCTGGTCTGCGGGGCGCAGCGGCCAGCAACAAGAACAAGGGTGGCTCAAAAACCAAAGGTCTCAGCGCACCTGGCGTGGGGTCTAGGGCCAAGGGCGGTGGCAAGAGCGGCGGCGGCGGCGCGGCTGGCGGGAGTCGCGGCAAGGCGGCTGCGACTGCCACCACGGAGGAGCCGGAGGGCGATGAGGAGTGGATGCAGGGTGAGTCCGGCTCATTATGTATGGGGTTGAGCGGCATGGCGATGGGATGGGGATTTCAAGGACGGTGCGACCTGTTGCACCATTGCCGTGGAGGTGTGACCTGAGTCGACAAGCAACTTGCCGTCCGGGCGTTTTACGATGGAAGGGAGGAAGGCGGCAGGGGGTGCTGCTGGCAGTGGGAGGGGGGCGGGAAATGCGGGCGGGTGAGTGACGCGGGCGTTTCGCTTTGTCCATGTCGGCGCTACACTTAGTTGTCCTCTTTCCCTGGTCCTCGGGTGTCGCGTCACTATTCTCATCACGGCATGTGATGTGTTGCTTCGAGATATGTCTCCCCTGCAACCGATGAATGGCGGGCCCTCCCCCAACATCCTACATCTGTTGTTCCATGGCCTTCCCCCCTTACGTTCGGCTGTGCCTGTAACGGCGTATGCAGGTACTGGCGAGCAATTGGGCGAGCCCGTGCTGCTGGGTCCGGAGGATGAGGACGACTTGGGCTTCAGTGAGGACAACGACGGTTTAGAAGAAGGCTACGATGATCCGTACGATTCAGATTATCGATAGCCCGAGGAACCCGCGAAGGGCAACCCACGACAACGTGAAATGCTTGCCTCGGCCTGAGGCTTCAGCCATCCTTGTGCCTCTCATCTGTGGTATTGTGCATCGTTAGGGTTTGGGTGCGTGTTCGGAAAAGCACTGGCACGTAGGATGATACGCCAGCGGTGGCGGCTGCAGTGCTCTAGGGGCGTGTGCTGTGGTAGGGTGCAGGCTGCTCGGTATGCACACGCTATTTGGGGGGATTTGCGCGGGTGCTTGCGCGGGTGTGCAGGTGCGGCAGTTCCTCGATGTGGTTCCTCTGGACTGTTGTCGTCTGCTTTGGGCGCGGCCGCTGTGCCCCAGCTATGTCCAGGCACACCGTGTGCCATGGCACACGAGAGACCTGGGCGCCGTTCGGACAAGCTCGAACGAGGTGGAGGTGCCAAGATTACCGACAGGATATGTGTTAATATTTCTGGAGAGGTTTGTTTGGAGGGGGAAAGGAATTTAGCTGCCGAGGTGGGGTGAGGGGGAACTCTTTTAACAGAAAGTCCGTGGGGGCTTCCGTGGAGCCTAGGTGAGAAAAATGCCCACCCATACAACAGCGACCACTTTTGCAATTGATGGGACTGGGGCAGAAGAGAGATACCTGAGGTGCTGTGACGTGGGTGCCAGAGAAGAGATTTAATGTGCAGCAAGGGTGATGTGAATTTTGTCGGGCTTCGCGTGTGGCAAAAGCGGCTTGGGGGGTTTTCGGTGATGCGGCTGCTTGAGGGCATGGATTCTGTATAGCTGTCTGCCTGATATAACCGTCTGCCTCGTATTTGCATCAACAAACTAGACGCAATATATGTAAGCAGTGCTGGCTTTTGCACATTCGGGCGGCTTGTGTACGAACGACCTGGATAGGAGCAGTCCAACACACCAACAAGAGTGTGACTTTCCACTCCTACTTAGTTGACAACATGATGAGGATGTCCTAGTACTTGCTCAGTTCTTACAGAGGTATCGCTGGCGTTCCCTCGTTTCTGTGTCATTTCGTTGCGTGCCAGCGCGGAGGCATAGAATAGACGCATGGCGGCAAGTTACTGGGACTCACATTGCTCGTAAGTCTTTATCCTAACGGATATAGACGCAGCCCGTGTTGAAGCTTGACCGACATCGACACCTTGCAGACGAAACCTAGTGTCCAAGGAACAGCTTGACTTCTCCCATGCGGAGGATAGACTCCTCGGGCTTACCCGAGAGCATATACAACAGCTTAATGCGTACTTTTGCGCCAGTAAGACGGGGTCATGCCGCGCGGGAACATCATCTGCAGTATGGGCGCCTGAAGGCGGTATTGCCCGAATGCAGGCATTGCGGAGCTCGCGAAACATCTCAAGCTCCGGCAGAGGTGCGCGGCTAATAGCTGCCCGATTAAACAAATCTCTTGGCCCGGGGCAGTAAGCTTCAAAACACGCTACTGTCCCCGTAGGGTGGCGGCTTCGGCCATGATATACTTCCGCCGCACGTACCTGTGCAACAACTTTTGTCGCATGGACCCGCGGCTTGCCTATGTAGCATGCCTATACTTGGCGTGCAAGGCGGAAGAATCTTTGCTTGCCGCTAAACATCTTGTAGTACACGCGAAAACGTTACGGCCGAAGTGGTCGTACGACGTCAAGGATCTTTTAGACATGGAGATGGTAAGTATTCATTGCAAATAAGGCTCCTTTCCTTCCCTAGTCCACCACCCATACGGGCATGAACCTCGCAATCATGGCGGAACATACACAGGTACAGCGGGAGAAGCTTTCCTCAACTGATTCCCGGGCCCGCCACCATACCTGCCCCTAAGGGCCCGATGTTTAGTCAAACAACCCGGGAGGATAAGCTGCAACAGTATTTCCCTCCCGGAACCTTTAATCACGTGCAGGTCCTTCTGGAGGATTTAGATTTCAACCTGATCGTCTTCAGCCCGTATCGGGACCTGGCTGTCTTCCTAGCCGATGCCGGCGTGGATGTGGCCTGCGGCCAACGCGCCTGGGGTGCGCTTAACGACTCATACCGGAGCGACGCAAACCTGCTGTACCCACCGCACATTGTAGCCCTAGGTTGTCTCTGCCTGGCGGCCAGTGCTGGCGGTGTGGACCTCAGCACGTGGCTGCAACGACTCAACGTGGACCTGAACCAGGTCCGCGGATTAAGCTGAGCAATGTAGCATACTGTGTACGACAGGGTAGCGACAGGACTTTACACTCAGGAATAGAGCTTCTTCGTGGACTTGGCACTCCGGGAGCTGGTTCGCTGGGGCACGGGGTTTTTGGGAACGTCGGGCAATCTAGGAAGGCACCATCCAGCAGGCTGGGACGCAATGTGCCGAGCTGAGTATTGTGGTAGCTCGAGAGCTGTAGGAACATCAGCACGTCAACGCGGCCGGGCAACCAACGACCTTGGTTGCGGAGCTGTCCTCCTACCCAGCTAAGGCCTTCTGCCTGGTCGCGGATTTGGTGTTGTAGCCGTCATCCACGCACTGATGGGCCCCTTCTGACCGACTGGTAATGCGCCGGTTGTGCTGCCATAACGTGTGGGCCTGTCACAGGTTGCGGCAGTGGTCTCGGAGCTGTCCTCGCTGTACATGCAACATACGTACGTCATCAGTACGGACGAGTGCCACCGGCTACTGGACCTGGTGTATCAGCGCTGGGACTCAGCGGCGGCGGCCCCTGTTGGAGAGCGTGTGAGGCGAGGATAATATGGGTAAGCAAGCAGACAATGGGACCGGGCAGGGTGCTGCAAGTGAGCGGGTTGAGGATTAGCAAGGGAAGGAGGCGGAGGAGATCGGCTGTTGGTGGAGTTTTGGCCAGAGGGAATGGGCTGGGCGGGACCGTAGACACCGGACGGGTACGCGAAGGACCGCCGCGTGCAGACGTTCCGACGCACTCCACGAGTGCTAGGTTAGATTACCGAGATCATTCCTCTGTTGACTGCCGGGAGCATGCGGGGAGCGCTGGGTTCAGTGATAACGGAAGTCAGAAAATGCAGGCTAAGGGGATCTTTAAATTAGGGTGACGTCAAAGTGGGCTTTACTAGCTGCCGGTTGGCTGCCAGTGAAATTTGGAGTATTTGCTTGCAAAGAGCTAGGCTGGTGGTTGCAGCCGGTGCTGCCATTGTCTTTATTTTTGCTCAAGCGGAGGCCACTGGCTGGCAGGGGCTGCGGCTCCTGGCTAAGGGCTGACGAGCTAACACTATGCGACGGATTTCGCTTGGAGCGTGTTCTGAGTGCATGATTCACGCACTTGCAACTGTGATTTGGGGGTGCGGTGTGCTATATTCTTTTATGTATGGGAGCAGGGTGGCAGGTAGTAGACAGTTAGCAGAGCGGGCAGGGGCCGCTGCTCAGGCAACGCGTGTTTCGGACGCTGATCGATGGTTAGCGGCCATGCGTGGTCTCAGCATGGGTGTTAGAAGTGGTCACTTTGCAAATAGAGGTGCATGTTAGCCCATCCAGACGACAAGAGTCTATAACTGTATTCCGGATTTGGACTTCAGCAGGCGTATCGTGTCGAGGTGCTTTGCTTACAAGTATGACTTCACTTGCGTTTCGTTATGTAATGGTGTTTGTAACTTTCGCAGGCGCGTCCTGGTGATGGTAATGCATCGCATTTGTTACGTCCGCTCCGTTTCAATCCTGTGGGTGAATGTTCTTGTTTGATTGCTTATTTGAGGTGCAAGGCCTGCGGATGAAGGGCGCGGACAGATGTGCCTTGTGCGATGCTTTACGTGCTGCTTCCTGCGGCCCTCGGGTCGAAGTTAGGCGTACGCGGCTTCGAGGTAAGAGCGCCAAACATTGCTCCTGTAATGATGCTGTGAATGCCTTTGGGAAACTGCGAGTCGCTGAAACATGCTTTGTAAGCAAGAGCTGGCGCTGATTCGCCTCGTGTACGGCTGCACGAATTCTTGATCTAAAGCCAAATTGCAAATTGATGTACTGGAATTGCTCTAAGTACAAATTACATATTTTACAGGTGAAGATCTTTACAGCGCGCGATAGGCGCGAACACTGGCAAGATGGCCTCTTTCGGATGGCCGCTGACTGGCGCCGACCTGTGGCAGGTCGTAGTGGCCGTCTTGCCAGTCTGGCTGCTAGGCGCCTTGACGGGTTACCTAGTAAGTATGAGCAGTACATACAGTTCCGGAAATTTCGGTCATCCCGTCCATCATACAACGCTTGACCACCCGACCCGTGCAGTTGCCACGCCCAGCTTCGGCAAAGTCCCAGCCTGCCACCTCATGGGCACTCTTCCTCTCTGGCCCTCACATCCGGCGTTGGGCGGTTCTCTATCATTTGGCAGTCATTGTCAGGTTCGTCGGGCTCTGTTATCCTTGCGTTTTCGTTTATTGCACTTTCAAACCTGCATCTCTTCAGCTGATTTCCTTATCACTGCAGGGATGTCTGGAAGCAATACACGGCGCCTGGGACTTTCCGAGCTTTTTGCAAAGCAATTGTGAATTGGGCTGCTGGAAAAGGCTTCTACTTTGAGTTTCCAGCACTTTCTGCGGAGGACGCCATCGCAGACGTAGGAGCGACGAAAAGTACGCGCGATGCTGACAACTGGTGAGTTGGTGATTTACAATTAGACTGGCCGCTTCCGGTGAGGAGAATTAGTCAGCAGTTTCAGGAGCTTATATTGATTTTCGTTGTGATATTGCAGGTATGTCACTCAGAAGGACCTGGCTTTCTTTCAATATCACATGGAACAGAGTGGGGATTGCCCTGGCGCTTCACCGTGGGAAGTGATGATGGAGAAGGATATCCCGAACGTGATGAAGTATACGGCTTGGCGGAGAACTTTGGCGGTAAGTCACTACCTTCTGAGGGGTTCTTAGGGGGGGTCCAGGGTGGATGTGTATGGTTCTCCCTTCTGCCACGTTTATTCCCCAGGGTTGATTTCCCGGGTCTATGCACACCCTTCTCACAGAATGGCAAGACGGAGTATAAGAGTCTGACATACAGTGGAGACGCAACTGCAGAGGAGTTCACCGACTTGTACTTTGACGATGACTTCAGGCCCAAATGGGTAAGCCTGATCCTATCAGCAGGCATTTCACCCACATATTCGGGTATGAGGCTTCTGTAGGACGAATGGCTGGGTGCGCCGGGGGCTTTTTTGGGGATGATAAGCGGACGGACACGCTGCCTGTTGTGATTACCTTTGCAGTGCAGAACTCTCTTCAATTGCAATAAAATCCCGAAGCATGAGCGAGTGTTTTGAGGGTGTTCAGGCTTAGGTATGTTGACTATTGCCTTTAACTCCCTTACCCATATCCTTCAGGACACTATGATTATACATCACGAAGTTGTGGAGCACGGCGACTTCTCGCAACGACAGCAAGTGGTGCGCTGGGTGCGCCGATTTCCGTTTAAGTTTCTATCGGACCGCGAATACACCATTGCGCGCCGCCTTTACAAGACAGACGACAGCTTGTACGGTCTCACAAAGGTATGATCAGTATGTACCTAACTGGGTATACACACCTGCCTAGGACAGGCACGGTCGTAGGGCTGCAGTTATGCCTGTTTTCTTACGTTACAAATATTCCGGCTCTGACTGTCTCGTGTTCCTTTCCTGTTGACGTTACCCTTGACAGACCATAGAGCATCCCAGCTCTCGGCGCAATAGCCATGTGGTGAAGATGGACGTCTTCTACTCCATGTGGCGTTCCCGCACAGTTAAATGCCCATGGGGTTCGGACCGGCATGCGTGTGAGACCCTGCTCTTCCATCACGAGCAGTTCAAGATTATGGAGAACTTGGCGCGGTTCGCCGTTCGACACGGCATGTGGGGCTTTGTGAAAACGCTTTCGGAACGTACGCCTGAGTACATTGCACGCAGGCGTCAACGTGTGGGCTCCTTCGAGGCAGATCCGATGGCCTACGGGTACAATGGCTGTCCTAACCCGCCGACCAACGGCGCGGGCTCCGTCCTCGGCTTGCAGACGTCACAGAGCTCCATGTCATTGTGCTCCTTGGAAAGCAGCACGCTCAATGGCATGGGCAGTTCGCTAAGCCGGCAGGGCAGTGCCGGCCTGTCGCGTGGTAGGAGTGTGCCGGGCAAGGTCAAGGGCCTGCTGGCCGTGGCAATGGCGAGCGGCCTGGCCGTTCTCTTGAAGCGGTCAAACTCCATGCCCAACAACCTCAATAATCTCAAGGTTCTAAAGTCCAAGCGTCAGCAGCAGCTCCGCAGACAGACCAGCATGACCTTCTAGATTTGTATGTACCGATCGATTTGATACGTACAAATCCACATACGAGTCATGCGGTGTATACGACTGTGCTGGAACTTCTGTGCTTCGTTGTCGTCTCGCACTGGGTTTGTTCTTGCTATCTCTACTCCAGGGCGATAGCAAAATGTAGTTGTCGCCGTTCATAAATATTCCTGGACATGCTTATCCCGCCGAATGCTCTTGCCATTCGTTGATCCATGCTGTCGCCTGGCGGCGTGTGACACGATGTTACCTGTGCCACACAACTAAAAAGACAGAGCTGGGACGCGCGCATCCAGTGCGCCTTAGGCTGTCCCTTGCTTACTGACCCCTAGTCTTCTTCGCGTCCTTATGCCTTGCGATGCAGTCGCTAGCCTTGTCTGAATGATCGATATATTTAAGCCAGATCGGTCATTTTGCGAACGTGGTAACATCGTGGCAATTGTGACAATTGGGTTGTTCTGCCAATTGCTTTTATATATTTTTGGACGGAAGAGAGCAGGCTGCGGAAAGGTGTCCTGTGTCCCGTTTCGGGGAACATTCGTAGGTATTCGTATTTTCTTTGGCAACTTGTACGATGTCTGACGGCAACTCGTTTGTCGCGTGGCGGCCTCAGTGGTGTTTGCCATAGAGGAACGTCCCCGCAGGGGGTTCCGCAGCCCGTCAAAAGAACGAAACATGTAAGTTACAAAGCGTGTGCGTTGTGCCCTCTGGAGGATCATGTGAGATAAGTTCAGAGTTAGGTTAGACTTTAGCCAGGTAGCCTGAAGTACGCAGTAAAGGGTATACTTGCTACCCAGCACTGAAAACTGGTGAACTGCGCCTGGATAACATCGACTTACGGCGGTTTGCGGTTGGCATGTCCAATTTGCGTAGCTGAAAGTGCAAAAACAGAAGGGGGATGATAGTTGAAAATTTTGGTCAAGCCCTTAAGTGCATGGAACTGGTCTGCCGGGGGTTGCCTTACCCACGTCCTCTTAATGCCTCTTTCCATGCTTATGGCATCGTTGTTTAGGGCACAATCTTGCAAACGTGAATATAGCAAAAGTTGCCGGGAAGGGTGAAGCGGTTGGGTTTGGCCACTTTGGCACTTTGTTGTGACGTGCTGAAATAGGACATTCGAACTGCGGAATGCCATAAAAGGGTTTGACGATACAGATTCGCTACAAAGGAACTGGAAGCCGCACTTCTGTAATGCAGAAGAGAGACTACTGCACACAGGTATCATAACTAAGCGGCAGGGTAGGTTTGTATACCAGCAACGACTACCATCATTTAGTTTGTAGGCGCTTGTGGAGCTTTCCGCTCGACAAGGCCTATCGTAAGTAGCAAGGTAGTCTGGTTGGCGGTTGGTGCGTCTAATGTTTTGCCGTACATACCTACGTTACTGGTGCCCTCCTTCCTAATCACCTAATGGACGACTAAACTGAGGCCTTACGACTGTATAAGCAGGCTGCGCCAAATTAAAGATTGCTCGTCAAATTCAAGTACGAAACCGAGGTTCTGGTTAGACCGGTGTGTTATGCGTCGCAAAAGTTTTTTTCACACCTTCCAGCTGTTCTTACCGCTGCTTCCGTTTTGCAACATGCTTGCGTCGGATGGAAAAGAAGCTGTCGAACGTTGTTGACCGAGTGGTTCATGGCACCATCCGTCGAGGCGTAAATAAAGCAGATGGAAGGAGAGAGCGATGATTTCGGGTTAGACAACACCGATGATTTGGAGATAGACGTAAGTGACAGCTGCGAAGACATGCCCATTAGTGTGCCTGCTGACCTTGTCACGCTACACCGCAGCACCAGGACGATTCTGGACTATCAGCAAAGGTAAATTAGATGCTGTAGACTGCGACTACTTGCGACGACAGATGGGTGTATCGTTAACTGTAAGCACCGAACTGGCAACGATGTAACCCGCGTAGGCAAAGGCGCCGGTGGGTAATAGCAGCTTATTTAGTGCAGATGAAGATGACTTCGAAGCAAGCGACGCTGGTGTTCCCCAACAGAGAGCCCCTGGTTACCCTCCGCGACCTGCACCGCCCGGGCCGGACAACCGGCGTGGTAGCCATGGCCTTTTCAGCGGGGACGATGACGATGACTTCGGGCTGGACAGGAATGCCCTACCACCGCATCGAACACCCCTCCCACCGCATCGGCCCCCGCCGTCGGTGCCCAGCAACCGGGCGGGTAGCAGCGGCCTGTTCAGCGGAGATGACGACGACTTCGATGGTGAAAGCGCAGACCTGGTCCCACGGCAGGTCCCACCTCCGCCGCCCCTTAGACCTGCGCCCCCCGTACCACCGCGTCGCCGCGGCAGCAGCGGGCTTTTCAGTGAAGACGATGGGACAGATGGCGAGTACGGCCTGGGATTTTCAGCCGCCGATGACCTCGGGGCTGAAATCAATCACGACGGTGCGCCGTCGGCCCGTCAGCTGCTGCCGCCGGTCGGCAACTACACTGACCCATCACTTTCCCTGGACGCCAACGACTCCGAAATTGCGGACCTCCTAGGGCCGCAGTCCAAAGCTGGAGCTCCAGCTTCAGCCTTGCAGGCAGCCCTGCCACCTCGGCCAGGCCCGGCACGGACGGTGACGGCGCCCCCACCGCCACCCGCACCTGAGGCCGGAAGCTACGGCCTTGAGGCTGAAGATTCTGAGCTCGCGGATCTGCTCGCGGACAGCCCGCGGGAGGCCCCTCCTCGGCCGTCTCTGGGCGCTGGGTCCTCCTCAAGCCGTCGAATCAGTTTCAAGGAGCCCGTCGTGGCAGTGGCGGCGGCGCCGCCTCCGCGGCCACGCATGGCTCACCCGCAGCCGATGAGGCAGCCGGACAGCGACAGCTTCGGCAACAGCAGCGACGGGTATGGCCTGGAGCGGGACTCCCGGCGGGATCTGGCTACGCAGCCGGCACGTCGTGACGGCCTATCCGACGACTTTGCCAGCGGAGAGGATTATGGCGAGGTGACATTTGGCGGGCGGGTGCCAAGTCCGGCGCACGCGCCGGATCCAAGCAGTGGTGCGTCATTTAAGCGGATCCTAGCCCCGGAGAACCCGATCCAAGATCCATTGGACTCGCCTGTGGCACGACACGGCCGGCCGCCGCCGCGCGGGATTCCGCCGCGCCGTCAGGTGGCAGAGTCTAGTGAGGCTTACATGGATTACGACGACGACTACGGAGATGATGACGTGGAGAACGACGTGTACGGAAACCGCGGCGACGTACGCGCCGGCCATCACGGTGGCAGCAGCAGCGTGACCTTCCGCCGCATTCCTTCTCCAACCCAGCGCGGTCTGTTACCACCACGGCCAGCGGCTCCCAGTCCGCCAGGGGACGATGAGTATGAGGAACAATTTGAAGACGATGAGGACATGTTCGCGGACGACGCCAGCTGGGATGGCGAGATCCGCTTCTCTGCCGGCGGCGCCCCAGGTCGTGGCAGCCGCCACATGGTTGCCGCGGCGCGCCCGAGCTCGGCACGGCAGCCTCGGTCCCGCGGGCCGCACGCCACAGGGGGCACCCGGCTGCGTTCGACTTCAGCACTGCCGCCGCGGGAGCGCCAGGCGGCCATGATAGAGGATATGATGGGCCGCCATCCCAGCACATGGGACAGTGAGTCAACAGAAGCGGCGGCTGGGGTTGGGGTTGCGGCTGTGGCGCCTGGGCTGGCACTAAGCGTGTGGTGCGCACACACTGCGCAGCTAAGCTGAGCTGACCTTTGGGGTTCGTCCAGATCCGGTCCAGTGCATGGCTCTTTTCTCATGGCAACGGGATTTCGCGTATAACCCAAATCACAGCGGTCTTGAACTTCTCGCTTTGCCCCAATGACCCCCGCATCCACCAGCATCCCGCATGCGTACCAGCTAACAGCGTGCAACGCACCTGCCTGCCTCCCTGCGCCAGTCCGTGAGGTAGCCACCTGGGTGGAATTCATCGGTCTGGGCCAGTACCGGTCCAAATTCGTGCACCACCCAGTGGACGGTGGCCTGCTGCTGAGCCTGGGCGATGAGGAGTTGGCTCGCGACCTGCGCATCTTGCCGTTGGGCCACCGCCGGGCGCTGCTGGCTGCCATCGCGCAGCTGCGGGAAGCGGCGGAGGCGCTGGAACAGCAGCGCGGAGGGGCGGATGGGGCAGCGGGAGCGGGAGGTCGGCCCAAGAGCGAAGCAGAGCGGTGGGTTTCGGGGCGTGTGCACTAGGCTGCCTGCAGACCCATGGCGCGGTCGGGTTCGTCGGGGCTTGGGTTCAGGACTGTGGTGAGCCGGGTTGGCGCCGCACTGGGAGGCGGTTAAGGGTGTCAAGTGCAAAGAGGAACATTGGCATGGTGTTCATAACAGACGATGTTTGCGGATGACGCTCGCCAGGGGGCCGATCAAACATTGTGGGGCCTTCCCTGGCTAGCGGATGAGTTGGGATGCCGGACCGATGTGCGCTAACGCGCCGTTGAAAGGGGTGAAAAAGGGTAAAGTGAAGCGTGCAGCGGGTCGGGTGCTTCAATATTAATATTCTTAGGGAAAAGCTACTGGCGGCATAAATCGCCTCAAGGGTGTGATGTCGTGAACCATGGCTGGACAACCACGTGACTGATGGTGAAGCTCCGGAACCTTTTTTCCCGTTCACTGCCCTGACAGGAGAATCTCCCTCGCTGCCGCACAATTCTGATAAGACCTAGCTTGCACAACTAACCCCGTCCTGACGCCGGTTACGTCCCGCTTAGCGCCTGACCAGATGCGCTTCAGCCTGCCCCCTCCTCTTGCATTTCCACTACTGCCATGCACCTCTCGCCTGTCCCGGCCCAAGACACCTTCGTCCATGCGTCTCTGTCTACGAACCATACAATGGAACCATGATGGCTGTCCCGCCTAGCAATACCGCGCCGCCAAGACAATTCTCCAACCAACCACGACAGCCACCCGCCATGCTGCCCCGCCCTCCCCCCCGGCAGATTGGCGGACCTGCGCCGTCGGGCTGCAGAGCAGCAAGGGGGAGTCAGGCGACCGTCCAGCGCCGGAGCCCGCCTCATTCCCCCGGAGCCTTTCCTGGGCCCTGCCGCGGGAAAGATCACCGTGTACGAGCAGCGAGCCAAGCTATTGTATCAGCTGGACCGGGCCCGGCACCGAGCCGCGCAGCATGCAGCGTAAGAGCTGGGATGGATTGGAAAGTTTGGAAGCTTTCGGGAAGTTGTGGGTGAGAGGAGGAGGCTGGGCGGACAGCGGGGACCTGTGTACAGACCCATTCATGACTCACACCGATACCCTCCATGCCGCCGTCCCCGCGCCGTCACGCTTCCTGTCCTTCCATTCCCCCATCCCTGATGGGGGTCAGGGACGTGTTAGGTGGGGGTTTGGGGAGGAGCACTTGCATGTTTACCAGCAGCTTATTACCAACCTACCAGCCAGATTTGCGTTTGTTCCTTTCTTCCGCCGCCAGGCCGGCGTTAACAAAGTTTCCAGCTTACGTTGCCTCTTTTTCTTGCAACTCATGTCAACTTATGGTACTTTTTGCTCTTCGTCGCCTTTGCACTTACCTTTAGAATACCACGGATGGTTTTCCTGCTTTCTTCCGCACTTTATTTTAATCTCGGCTAGGTAGGTAGTTTTCAGCTATCGTCATGACTACATCATCGCGAAGACTTCTTCTTCACAAGCCCCGACTGGTTAGTTATGTCTTCCTTACTTCTGGCGTATCAGTTTATCATTGGCATCAGCTTCACTCTTTCGTGGTTCGTCTTCCCCCTGATCCCGTTGGCCCTAAATCCCCTACCTGTTGCCTCTCCCAACGCCACCGTCATGCTTCTCCTGTTGCCCACGATGCTGCTGCCGTCGCCGCTGCCGTGCTTTGATCATCTCGTGTGTGCAGCATCATCGAACAGTTGTCCAACAATAAGGCCCTCACGGAGGCGCAGATGGCGGAGATGCGTGGCAAGCTCAAGGATTTGGAGACCAAACACAAGGAGGAGTTCGCGGCCTCACACCGCCGCGGCATGACCGCCCCCATCTCACCCGGCAGCTTCCGCAAGGGCGCCGAGTACGGCACAGATGCTGCCGTACCGTGGCTGCCGGTTGGTCGCGGCACGCAGCTGGCCAACCGCCATCCGGAGCGCTTTGCGCGTGACGGCGAGGACGCCGTCGTGGACCTCACCTTTCGCCCGCGTGTGGTTCGCCTGGAGGAGGTACCCGCAGGCGCGGTGCGTGATATCGTGGCTAAAGCGCTCAGCAGCCGTACACCTTTTTGGCAGCGCATGGAATTTGAGTTTGAGAAGATGCGCAAGGAGCGAGAGGCACGGGAGGAGGCCCGGCGCAAGCGGCGAGAGCGCATGGGCATGGTGCGGCGCGGAGGCGGAGGCGAGGGCGAAGATGAGGAGCAGGCCAAGAGCCCCCACTGGAACAATTACTGGGTGTGTAGGGTGACGGGTTGACAGTACGGGGGTGCACACTATCGGCTGGGCTTTTGGTTGTGGCGTGGAAGGATGGGAAAGAGGAACGCGGCCAGGGGGTAGGGAGATTAAATGGAAATAAAACTGCAAAAGTATGAGAGAGCGAGAAAGCCGCCAGGAAATGGCTGGGAGAGCGGGCAGCCCCGCCCGACAGGCCACTTCAAGCGGCTTTGGCCGGCATTAGCTGGGTAAACAGGCGGACCCTGTGGCCGGATCGAGCCGACGACCGTGCTCAGATCCGCCAATTCACACTCTCCCATGCCCATCCCGGTCCGGCCGCCAGGTGCCCAACAGCAACAAGAATACCAGCTACCACAAACACTTCAAGCGCGGCAGTGAAAACGAGGAGTTGAACCAGTACCGCAGCTTTGCGAAGGACAAGATGAGGCTCAGTCGCTGGTTCAAAAGGCAAGATGGGGCCGGGACCGGACTTTACAGGGCACGTGCAGGGGCCATGGCCACACTAGAGGAGCCAAACCAGCCGCACACAGGAGGTATGTGCAGGCTATGTGCAGGCTGTCTGCGTGCCTTCCAGAGGCCCACAACATTCGGGTAGTTGCCTGACGAACGTAGCTCTGGTGCATATGGTAGCCTAGTGAGTAAATGGCCTCGGCCGCGCGTTGTGCAGGTTCGTGGAGGATGATGAGAGCACCGAGGGAGACGTAGCTCTGGAGCGACTGGTTAACCGCATGATCCGAGCGCTGGTCAGGACGAAAGCCGAGGTAGGAAAGGACAAAGGCAGAGGGCTAGGCAGAAGGATAATGAGAAGGTGATGTGGATGGTGAAGCTGGCGGACTTGGGGCGAAGTGGCGAACGATTGATTACCCGCAGCCTATAGAGCTCGGCCGCAAGCACACAGCACCTGGACCGGCCCTCCGGCCGGCAAGCATCACCCAGGGATGTGGGGAACAGCCGCCAACGGGCAGGAGTGCGCAGGGCAATGCAGCGCCCGGGCCATGTCAAATACTGCAAGCCCAACCTCTTGCCATCTCCCCCTTTCGCATTCTTGCCCCCGAAGTCTTGCGCTTTTGCTGCGGCATTCCGTTCCGTACCGCGGCTTCCCATACGTCAAGAACGTCTTCCCGGACTTTGGCTCCGTAGGTCGATTCCGAGGTGGGCGATACATTCGACAAGCGCATCCGGAACTACTTTGAGCAGCACGGATACAAGTTTCAGACGCACACCAGTAACACGATTATGGTGGGTGGACCGCGGCGCGGCGACCTGGCCAGCTGGCCAAGGACCCATGCATGCAATGTGCATTACCAGTGCACCTTGCAGCTGCCTTTATCCACCTTCGTTCTTTCCGCTACCCTGCCCGGGACTTGGCTATGGCCTGCAACCGCCCTGGCGGGTAAACCGGCCGATGGATCACTAGGCTCGTTTAATGTAATCTTCACGCACCTGTTTCAATGGAAAATGGCCGAATGGCTACTGGCAGGTTCGTGCGCGGGGCACCCGGCCGCCAGCCCCGCCGCGCCCTGATACGACAATGTACGACTTTGAGGAGGTGGAGCAGTACTACCCGGACTACCTGAAGAAGAAGACGCAGGGCGCTGGGGACAACTACGGCGGCGGGGACGATGACGATGGGGACGATGAAGCGCGCATGGTGCCCAAACGCACCACTTGGAAGCGCCTGGTGGCTGTTTACTACATGGAGCGACAAAAGAAGATCCGCGCCGCCATCGCCATGGTGAAGATGAGCCAGTTCGTGCAACGAAACGGGTGGGTGGCTGGCGGATGGGTGATTGGCTGGATATGTGGATGGGTAGCTGGGTGCACTGGTGGGTTGGCGTGTTAGGATTCCCCCCCTCTACAGGAACTACAGCCCTGGAACTTTCTTTTTCCACCGTACAATCTCCCTCGCCCAAGCATATCCCCTTCCCTGCAAACCGTACCTCCCCTCCCTCCCTCAGATTTTACCAAATCCTCTGGCCCCATGTCCGGTTTCCTTCCTTCATCATCATGCAGTGTCCCTGCCCTCTTCCTCCCGCCGTTCCCAACCCCCTCAAAAACAAATTTGTACCTGGCAGTGTCCGATGGCCCCCGGAGCGGGACCGTGACACTGGCAAGAAGGACGTGTGGGTGCCCAGCAGCACCGCGGGCGCGCTGCACCAGCTGGACGGCCGAGACCGCACCTTCAACGAAGTGGGACGGGACAACATCTCTCTGCATGTAAGTGAGCTGCCTACGTGCGTGCAACATACATGAGACGGAACTTGTGACAGGCCTGTGCACAGCCAGATTGCGAAGTAATGCGTTTTGGGTACGCTGGATACCCAATTCCACACCTGCCCTTACACTCCAACCCTACCCACCCATAACCTTCACGGCTCGGCCGGGGCACGGCAATCCGCCCCCACCTAACTCCGAACGCTGACCATCTCACTTCCCTCCTGGCAGGCCAAGCTCAAGAAGGCCCTAGGCCCGCCCCAGCCGGTGACCTTCCAGATGAAGGTTAAGGAGCAGGAGGAGAAGGAGGCCAAGGCGGAGGCGCTGTTCGCATTAATGGGCTGGCCGCACTCTTCAGGCGATCCCCACATGGGGCCCCCCATGGAGCCGCTGCTGCTGCCGGCTGGAGAGGGCGATGCTGGCTTTGGGCTGCTGGCAGCGGAGCAGGGCGGCGGAGAGAGGCGGCGGTGGCAGCCCCAATTGGACTTCTTCAGCGCTTTGGACGCGTTGATTGAGTGAGAGAAGGAGCGAGTGCATAAAGGGGTGATTGTTTTGGTGGGAGGGAGAGGACCGGACCGGACCCTGACAAGCGCTGAGTTGGGTGCAGATTTTGTGTCTTGGAAGGGCCGAGCTTGGATTTGGATTTGAATCTGCCGAGTGGTCTGTGGATCCTTCCATATTGGTGCAGGCGTTTACTGGCAGTCTTAGAACTTTATTGAGGGGTTGAAACACCCCGACAAGTGTTATGTTGGCGTACAGAGGTAGGAATTATGATCCTTACCCCTTACCCCCATCAACGCCGCGGCGACATCATCCTAGCAGCCATCCCTGGTGATGCCCAACCACAGGCCTGCATGCGCTTTTCCCACCTTCGTTATGGTCTCTCCCCCAACCCCCGGCTCCACCTCCTTTTCCTGCACCATAAACCCCAGTCGCGCTCTGGAGCTTCGGCACCTGCAGGAGGAGTGGGTGGCGTCATGGCACCGGGCCCGGGAGCGCGGCTACGGTGAGGAGGACCTTCCCTTGGAGCCACCCCGCGCCGAGGAACTGAGCTGGGGGTGAGCGTGTGCCCAACCCCGTGCTTCTTTGTCTCTCCTCGCACCGCTGTATCCTTCCGAGGCTGTGACGCCCTCTCTCTATTATTTTACGCTCTGCGGGCGTGCCCTCTCACTCACAGGATCACCCCTTTCTTTTACTGTCATTTTATATTTGCATTGATTCCCTTTTGCCCCTCATGTATATAGGAGCGACGATCCGCTTGTGGAAATGCAGAATCGCGCCATGGAGCGGCAACGGCAGGAATGGTTGCTGGAGTGGGAGCGAGATCGGCGGCGGCGTGAGCGCCAAGCCGCCCAGATGCTGTCACAGGGCTACCGACAGGAGGACATCGACTACCGGCTGGGACCACAACCCGAGGTTTGTGTTGCGTAAGGATTTGGATATTATGTGTGCAAACATGAAAACAATTTCAACTGCGATGCCCATACAGCCAAACAGCCAGGTCGCCAATCGGTCCCAAAAAACTTGAGTCCCAGATATTAAACCAAAAGGAAGTTAAGTCCACAAGGAAGGGAAATGGGGTGGAAATGGGGTGAAGCGCTGGGTCACGGGGCTGCGAAGACTGCGGGTGGTGCTGGGGCTTGGCCGCGGCTTGGGTTTGGCCTCACACGCACCCACATCCGCAGCAGGGCATTCGCTTTGTGGCGACGACACGTGGCCGCGCAGCCGCGCCCGCCCCGACCCCGGTTGATCCATTACGCCTTTCTCCCCTTTCCCGGTCCTTGGTGTGCCACTGCTGGTGCTGGTTGCTGTGTTGGTGTCTGAAGGCCTCCGAGGTTGAGTTCGCGGTAGAGAACCACCTGATGCTCCACGTGGAGCTTCTGGCCCGACTCAAGGAAGGGTTCCTGCTGAAGTTCAGGGGGGAACTCAAGGGCACCAAGAAGATGATGGCGGTTTACAGGTGGGAAGGGGAACGTAGTGGGAAAAGGGAAAGAGGAAAGAGCCGCTTGTGGCGCTATCGGCTGGCGCAGCATAGAAGCGTGGGAAGCGGTTATGATTTGCGTGGGGGAAGGCGGCAGGACCTCCACACAACACCCGAATGCACAAGTCTGGAGAAGCTACGGTAAGGGTAGCATTAGCAGCAGCAGCAGCAGTTCACTCGCTGAGTTGCTGGCTACCTCACCAAGGCCCGGGCCGAGGAAGGAATCCCTGCGTCTTGTGTCTTGCCTGACTTCCAACCCGATGCTTCCCTCGGATGAGAGTCTCGCCTCAACTCGCGCCGTTCGCCGTGCCTCGCCACTCGCGTCGACACTCTAGAGCGCTACGAAGCCAGATGTTCCTTGATGAGACCCGCGCCCGGCAGCAGCGCCGGGAGGACAACCTGCGGGCCATGTACGAGAGCTTTCGACGTGGCAGCCGGCGAATCATCAGCACAGAGGAGGTCAGGACGGAGAGGGAGGGAGGAAGGGATGGGGCAGGAGGGAGATCTCCCCGACCCGGGAGTACAGGAAACAAGAGGCAGCGAGCCGTGACGTGACCCGAAGGCAGGGACGTCAATGGATGCAAACCTCGACGGGGTGGGAAATTTTGAGGGAAAGCAAGGAATTTTTTTGATCCCGGACAAAATGAAATGAGTAAGAAGGCAAGATCGTAGCTGGCTGGACCACTCAAAGCACTGGGCGGAGGAGCGGAGCCCCGCAGCCAAACGCTCTGAGCCAGCGCCGCTTCCCTTCTACCTTGCCTTGCCTCCTCATCCCCCGGAATCTTCTCCGCACGCCCGCATGCGATAGCAAGAGGCGGCCTTTGCGAGGATGAAGGACGACGAGGAGAGGCGGGAGGCACGGCGTCGGGAGCTGCTGGTGAGGCAGAGGACAGCGGCGTGCATGATGGCAGGGATGAGGGTCCTGTTGGTCGTGTGATCCTGGCGACGATTGTGGCGATTGTGGTGGTTGTGACCTGATGGAGGGTTGGGAAGTTGCGAACCCCGACAGCCATTCTTCCCCCAGATCGAATCTTTGAACTGGGATGGAAAATGCAAAATGCAAGGCGGCCGCTTCGACTCCACCCTCCACCCTCGCATGCTAATATCCCTATTATTTCCTTCCTGCCCTACACGACATCCCATGCAGGAAAGCAAGCGGCTGGAAGAGGAAGCTAGTCTGACGCCCTGGTACCTCCAGCCGCGGCATACCAGCAGCCGGGGCCCCAGCCAGCCCACCAGTCGCACAACATCGCCCAGCCGGCGCAGCACCCGCTCCCCACCTGCCGCCAGCACAGGTACCGTTACCCCCACCACGCCACGACGGCGGGCCAGCAGCGCCACGAGGACTCGTGGGACATCTGGTGGCGGTGGGCCGCTGGAAGGGGAGGGCAGCAGCCGCAGCAAATACATCTTCGGCTCCAGCACGCCCAAGTCCATTTGGAACCCCATGGGCTACGCGCCACGCCCGGCACGACCAATTGTGAGCATGAGCTTGCTGGACTCCCCAGGTCTGCTGCAGGGTGGCCAATCCGCGGCGTCGCTGGACCAGCCGCGGCAGCAGCAGCGCACGACGCCGCGATCTGGCAGCGGTGCTGGCGCCGGCGTGGCAGCGCGGCAACGGCCATCCACACCCACTCGTTCGTCCCCAAGGACCGGCAGTGCCGGCGGCGGGCCCCGCTCCCCAGCGCCGCCGCAGCGCCCGCGCTCTGCTCCCGCGCCGCCGGCGTCGCCGTCACGGCCCAGTGGCGGTGGCGCTATCTCCGCCGCGGGCCGACGACCTACCTCCACTGCACCGCCACCATCGTCCTTGCGCTCTAGTGCAGGTGGAGCCGGAGGTGCAAGTAATGGTAAAGGCGGCGCGTCAGGCGCACCCGGCCAGCGTCTCACGGCTGCCACCGTGTCGCCTTCACCGCGGTCCCTCGGGACTCCCGCCAGCCCTGGTCGAGGCCGAGGCCGCAGCCCCGCGGTGGCGGCACCGCCGGCAAGCCCCCGCCGCAGCACCGGCCGGGTTGTTTTCGCAACACCGTCATCTCCGACACGCTCCAGCGGCGGTGGAAGCCTTGCCGCGAGGGGCAGGGCGGGCACCGGGGCCGCGGGGCGGCGGGGCCTCATGGATGGGGACACGACCAGCGGCACGCCGTCCCCGGAGCGTCGTACCACGGGCCCAGCTGGCGCAGGGCCCGGCAGCGCGGCGGCGTCGGCGGCAGCTGCGCTGTTGCAGCGGCAGCAGCAACGGCGACGCGGGCTGGCAGACAGTGACAGCAGCCCTAGCCCACAGGCAAGTGCCCGGCGGCCGCCACTGGAAGGCGGCATCGGTCCAAATAGCTCATCAGCACGGGGCCCCAGCGGATCTGAAGCAGCCATCAGCCGGCAGCCAAGGTCCGTTGGGGACGGCGGCATGGAGCCAGGCACGGCAGTAGCAGCGGCTGCTGATGGGCCGTCCAGGGCTACTGCTGGTAGCGTTGTTCCTGCGAGGTCGCCGCTGCGGCAGACCTCTGCCACCCAGTCCTTGGGCGCCACCACACGGCCACAGGGGCTGTCCCAGCAGAGCTCAGCCACTGGCAGCCTTGGTTTGCCTGCTGAAAGAGGAGGGGATGGTGGCCGCGGAGCAGACGGCACGGGTTTATCTGGTCCGGCCGCCACGACAGCAGGCCTCATCACTGAGGCAGCTCGTCTCGCTTCCTCCTCTTTGACGATGGGGCCTGCTGCCGGCAGCGTAGGAGCGGCCGCGGGCGGCGACTCCGTGTCCAGCTCCCGGCGGCCCTCCACCCCGCCTCCCCCCGCAATCCAGCAGGAGTCGTCCAGTACCAGCAAAACTTCCAGCATCAGTGCCAGCGGTCGGCCTGGCGGCAGCAGCAATGGGGGCGTCGGCGTTGGCGCACCAGGAAGGAGCTCTGGCGCCGGCGGCACACCGCCCAAATCTCCGCTTTCGCGCTCCCCGTTGGCGGGCTCGCCGCCGTCGCAGTCGCCTCCATCGCATTCTCCGCCCTCGCAATCGCCACCGGCGCCGATGTCGCCGCGCAGTGCGCCGTCGCCGCAGTCGTCGCATCGGCAGCTTCCCGTTGTGGAAGCGGAGGCTACAGAGGGCTCGGCTGGCCTCGGGAATGAAGACACTTATGCGCTGGATGAATATGTGATGGATGCGGAGGAGGGGGAGGAGCTGGATTACGGCGAGGAAGTTGACGCTGCGGAAGACTTTTGACCAACTTGGGGACTGTCGCTTGCGTAAAACGAGTAGATTTAGGCAGAGCGTGGGGTTCGGGATTTGTAGGCAGGTTGATGCAAGGGTCAGGGGATGGATCATACGTCAGTTTTGTAAAGATCAGGAGGTTATGGATCCGGATTACAGGAACATTACGGTCAACGGGCGCCTAGGTTCGGTATCACCATGGGCTGTCATGCATTACGGAAGATTGTCGTCGTGTATATCAGTCGCTGAAATGGACATCTATCACTTGACTGTCCAGTGTTGACATGCCCAGCCCGTACAAACCTGTGGGACTTGTAAGACCGGTTTGATGCCTTGCTATCCGTAATATCGCGAATTGCGAATATTATACGCGAATGCGTAGGTATCGTAACGCTGTGAAATGCTTTCGGAGACAACCATACAAAGCCCTTGTTCCGAGACCAATTACCCAGGAGCGGGCTTATGTCCCGCGTAAGCATTTCAATAGGTATCCTTCTTAGGTCAGAACTAAATCTGCAAAGGCAATGCCTGCGCTGGTGCTTCTTGGAAGGCAGCTGTTAATTGCTTCAGATGATGTGCCGCTCTTCGCTTTACCAGCCGCGTTGTTCCACAGCGGATGGACTGTCGTCCTTGTTGTGACGTTAGCCCTCTATCAGCGGCATCCTATATGTCGCGATGAAGGTGACTACCTCCCTTTCCTTGCTGGGGGTGCCGCTGCCTTTGTTATCTCATCAGCTCTGGAGTGGTCGCTTTTTAAAGTGGGCCTTACCGGTAAGAGAAACTGTTCTATTAAACCTGCAAGGCTTGCGTGACCTTCATAACGTGATAATGAGTCAGCCGTTACCCAGCTACTGAAAGGGAGACAGGAAATAGGGAACCCAAGCACGCTTACCAAACTATTTAGACACCAAACACCTTTTTAGACACCAACACCTTTCATCATATAATTGTCATATTTGGGGAAGTTTGCACTTTACGCATAAGCCCATGCTGGGTTCGCCGCACCTCACATAGGCGGGGGTAACCATATGGCCCTTGGGTCGTATCAGACACACGGCAGCTAATCCGCTCCTACCCATAATCCACCACACTTCTCTCGCTCTCAAAAGTTCCTCTACCTATGATCTTTATGCACAACCTTTTAAACCACTAGCCCTAACCTCTCCAGTGAAGAAGCCATCTTGGGCTCCGCCCTTGTCCAATTCCTCCCCTTTCACACGCCCCGTCTGCCCCGCAAAGGCACGCCCCTGGAGACCCATGCCCGCCGAGCAGTCCCCCTGCTGCTCTACCTCCACACCTTTGCCTCCATTTCCGAGCTGGGCTTTGCGGCGTATGGAGCACACCTGTTGCGTGTGGACACTCGGCTGTGCATAGCGTGGAGTCCTAGACCGTTGGCGGCGGCCCTGGTGGGGACCACCTGGGCGGTCATTGCCCTCAACGGGTGAGCGCGGAGCCGCAACGTGAATGCCCGACTGGCCTGCCCAGCATTGTGAATTCGTTTTGTTTTAGCAGTTTAAAGACCCCGCCTTGCTGTCATCCCAAACCATCATCGCCCTCACCATCGTGCGTTATAACTGACCAGGAGGCGCTGCGCTCCTCGTCCCCCGTGTTTGTGCGGTTGCAGACTGCTCACCGCGCTGGCGCTCAACCCCTGGCACGGGTTGGGCCTGGTTGAGGCGTGGGAGGCCCGACTGCTTTGGCTCTCCAGGCTGTTGTGCTGCCGGTCTGGACTGCTCACACAGGCGCGGGTTCCGGACAGGTACGTGTATGTATGTATGTATGTATGTATGTATGTATGTATGTATGTATGTATGTATGTATGTATGTATGTATGTATGTATGTATGTATGTATGTATGTATGTATGTATGTATGTATGTATGTATGTAAATATGCATGCATGTATGTATATATGTATGTATGTGATCCTTCGGGCCCTCACGCATCATGACCCGACCCTCATTACAACCCCAACCTCCTCAACAGCCCTCAACAGCTCAACCTACCAGTCTCCTACAGCCCTATTCCTGAGTTCTAACTCCACCAGGGGAACTCCAGCATGATGTCAAATAACCGCTCAATTCCAGGATCTTGACTGCCAAGGTTCCTTGGGATTAAAATTGCGGTTACCCTTCGCTTTCTGCTCCCATGCTGGCTATCAGCTGCGTATTCATCTCCTCCCCCGCGTCTGTAACCCTGTACCCGATTTCTACGGTACCTCTCCCTCCCCTTGCCTTCCCTTCCTGGGGCTGTAGGGAGCCCGCCCTGCGCCGCATCGCCCAGCTGACCTCCCACCTCCTACAGCATGTGGACCTCACCCTGTCGGATGTGGCAGCTGCCATGATACTGGTGGCGGCGGCGCAGCGGGAGAGACGCCGCCGGGCGCTGCGGGACGCAATGGTGGCGGCGGCTGCGGCGCATGCGGCGCTCCTGGGCTCAGGCGCGGCTGCAGCGTCTTCAGCGGCGCCGTTTGGCCCGGGCTTTGTGCCGGGTATAGGATCCGGGTTAATGCTGGGTGGGGGTTCGGGTGTGGTGTCAGACTCGGTGTACGGCGACGCGCCTGCCGAGCCTAAGGCCTCCGGGGGCTCTCCAGGACGGGGCAGCAGCGGCGGCGCCGTCGGTGGTGCAGGAACGGCGGCGCCTGCTGCTGCTCCTGCGGCGGCGGCGGCAGTAGCGGCGCTGCACGGCAGCGACATGGGAGGAAGTGCACCCGTTACAGCGGCCAGCAGCCAGTCACCCTTCTTGACTGTACAGCAACCGCAGACTCCGCAGCACCCGCAGCAGCACCCACACCCTCCAGCCGGGGCCCACCCTGGCCGGCAGACCCGGGTGCGTTTCGTGGACGACGGCACTGAGCTAGGGCCCCTACATGTGCGGTCACCATCGCCCCCGCCGCCGCCGCCGCCCCCGGCCCCGCTACCGGTCTCGCCGGCGGAGGCGACGTTGCGCCGCACTGAGGCTTCTCACGGCTCCTGCGGTGTGGCCAGGGTGGTGTCAGCTGACTCACCCTCAGTGCATGACGGCCATTGCGGCGGCATGAATTGCGGCACTACTACTACTACTGCTACTAATACGAGTACTGCTGCTACTGCTACTAGTACTGCTACAAATGGCGGCGTTTCCCTCGTCGCCCTGCCTACAACTACTGCTACTGCCATCCTCACCGGGATGGTGGTGGCGGGCAGCGACAAGGGTAGCGCTGGCTCCGTACAGCAGTGCCCGGTAGGTGGCGCAGCAGCCAAGCCGGGCGCCGTCGCTGCAGCTGACGGCGGCAGCAGCAGCAGTAGCGGCAGCGCAAGCGGCAGCAGGCTAGGGTTGCTGGGAGCCACAGCTGGGGGGGAGTTGACACCGCAGCCGCCGTCGCCCAGCCGCGCCCTGACGCTGATGCACCCCATGGTGCATATCACGCCAGCGGGCATGGAGGAGCATTTGGATGAGCTGGTGGGGGAGCTGGTGGGGGAGCTGGCGGCAGAAGTGGCGGAGGCGGAAGCGGACGTGGGGCCGCCGACAGGCCGTACAGACGGTAGCAGAGACCTGGATTTAATTCTGGATTTGGATTTACAAGAGAAAAGGGAGGATCCCGCGTCTACGGAGATGGATTCTAGGCGACTCGGGTCGGCAGGCGCGGCAGTGGCGGCTGTCGCGGCAACGGCTGCCGCCGCCGCAGTGGTGGCGACGACAAGCGCAGCCACGACGGCGGCTGCGGCGGAGGCGCCGGGCCCCCCGCCGCTAGGGGTCCCCCGGCGGCCCCCAGCGCCGCTGCCGCCGTCGGCTATGTTGGCGCTCCGAAAGCGCATCGGTGAGGCGGCCCTGGCGGCGGCGTTTGCTGCGGAGCGTGAGATGGTTGACCGGGAGACGCTGCAAGAGGCGGCATTGTACGGCAGGTAAAAGCCAACGAACGACACGGTGGTTTTTTACCTCCTCAAACGGCCTTTCCTCCAACTTGCCAACTCACGAGACGGACCCCGCTCTCCATATCACCGCTCATCTCGCCATGAGCCGTTGTCGCCTTGGCTTCCTGACTCTCACGTGTCATTACCACCAGCGGCTGCCCCTCTTCTCCTCACCTCGCCGTTTTTTTGTTGTTGTCAGCCTGAAGAGGCGGTAAAGAGGCGGCGCAAATACGTACAACAGGCGTTGCTTACTGTGGTTCCTCCACTTCAATGATATGGGTATCTTAACACCGGTTTAATAGAGAACGAGGCCCCTATGGCGACGTACTGAATGTACGGCACTGTGCAGGTACGCGGCGGCCATCTACGGCAGCTGCCCCCCTGACGGCCCCAGTGACGCCGCCGCCTGGCACCTGGGGGGGGACGGCGACCCGGGCTCCTCCTTGGACCAGGTGGCGGCCTGGCGGCGCCGCCACGGCTCCTCTGCCCCAGACCCGCTATTGGCCTCCATTCTCTCCAGCGCGTCAAAGTGTACGGAACATGTCGTACATGTCAACACGCACAACTCTACGGAGGGCTACCTACCGTACATGGTCTGCCTTGACAAGCCCACTCGGTGCGGGGTGCGGGGTGAGGGGGAACATCAAAACGAAGGGACGCGAAAGGAGGAGAGTGGAGGAGGAGGAGCAGGAGGAGGAAGAAGGGAAGGGCCGGGGACATTCAAATTTTGAGACTCAGGGGCGGCGACGACTAGCTGCGATTAGCTTGGAGGCTTCCGTGTGTGTATGTGCGCGCGTGCGTGCGTGTGTGCGAGCGTGCGTGTGTGTGAGAGAGAGAGTGTGTGTGTGTGTCTGTGTGTCTACATGCTCACTTCCGCCTCCACCCGGTGGCGGTGTGGGCCCTCCCGCCCGCCCGTTCTCCTCCATCCCTTCATCCCTTCATCCCGCGCCACTGCTCGCGTGTCCCTTTACGGCATCTTGCGACGGCCTGGTCCTCCCCTCCCCTCCCCTCCCCTCCCCTCCCTTTTTGAGCGTTGTGGTGGCCCCTTCACGGCCACCACATATCTGCCGTTTATCACTTTATCCAGGCGGCCCGGTTGCCCCCCTCTAACCCCGGCAGGTCAGTGGTCATTGCCATTCGGGGAACCTTCAGCGCTGAAGACATCGTCACCGATTGCTTATGTGAACCTGTCGACGTACGGCATATGCTCACGCCGCCACGACTGGCCCCGGACACTACCACCGCCGCCATGTCGCCATCACCGTCATTGTCGGCGGCAGCGGCATCTTGCGGTGCGGCCGCCGCAGCAGCCGGCGCCGCTGACCCGCTTTTGTCTTCGATGGTCGGCGGCGAGGTTGAGGTCGAGGGGGCGGTAGCGGTAGCGGCGGCGGCGGCGGCGGCTGCCCTGAACGCGGCCCTTGTCGGAGTCCCCCTGGACGAGCCCGTGTTGGTGCATGCGGGCATCTGGGCGGGTGGGCCGCCTGCCGCGTGAGGCCCTGCCTGAGGGAATCAACCCGAATACCCTGCATAACTAACAGAATACACCATACCAACTAATATGTATATACATACATATATATATATATATTAGTATATTTGTATGTATGTATGTATGTATGTGTAGCATGTGGAACCATATGCCCGTGCAGTCTGTCGGTCAGTCTGTCAGCCAGCCATTAGAGCAGGCAACGCGGACGAGCACTAACAATGATAGGATTAGCAAAGCGCCGGACCCCCTCGGGCCCTCTCCCGGGGCTGTGCTGAGAGGGTGGGGTGTCCCCCCTCCGTTCACCCCTCCTCGCAGCCGCCGAGGTGATTTGGGAGGACCTCACACAGCTGCGACTGATGGACATCCTGCTACCGCCGCCCGGCCCCTCCTCCTGCCCCGCCGCCGCCGCCGCCACCACCACCGCGGGTGAACAGAGGGCCCCAGCTCCAGCTGCCGCCACTTCCGCCACCAACCCTGCCTCCATCTCCACCTCCGCCTCCGCCTCCGTCACCTCGAGCTCGAGCTCAAGCCGGGATATCTCACAGCCCGGCAGTAATGCGGTGGGCGGGGTCACTGGCGCCCCGCCGCCATCCGTCGGGGTTTCCGGTGCGCCACCCGACCACCACCACCACCTCTATCCCCCGAACAGCCGCAACCAGCAGGAGCAGATAGCGCGTCAGCAGCAGGAGCCTCCAGCTCAGCAACCGCAACTACAACCGCAACTGCAGATGCCGCGGACCCGCATGGCGCCGCCGCCGCAACCGCTGAGCCCGCAGTACCAGCCACAGCAACCACAGCAGCGATGGAGACCGTCTTCGTTTGACGAGGGCCGGATAGCTGCGCTAGGTACGTTGCCGACGCACCAGCTGGCGGCACCGCCGCCGGCAGCGTACGGCGCCTGCGCCTCCGGTGCTGGCGGCACTGACCCATGGGTCGCCAGCGCTGCTTTGTCGCCCTTGGAAATCTCTCGGCGGCTAAGCAACATGCCCCGGTTGATTTCTGCTGAGCGCCAAGCGACGGCGCCTCACGGCACTGGTCTCGGTGCACTGCTGCGGCGGCACCAGCGGCAGCCGCCGCCGCCACCGCCTCCAGCGGCGGCCTTGCTGCCATCCCTGGTTTTGTCGTACATCCCGCCCCCTCGGACAGCGTCGATGCCGCCGTCAGCCGGCGCAGCCAGATCCCGCCGGGACTTCCTGCAGTCGGCGCTGCGGCGAGGGAAATCCACTTCGGCGGCGGCCGCTGGCGGCGGCGGCAGCAGCGGCAGCCGCCGTCGCCGCCGCCGCGGCGGTACCAACGCCGGCAGCAGCGGTAGGAGCAGCGGCGCCGACGCCTCCGGCGGTGGAGACGACGATGATAATGATCCCCGCGCGCCGTTGTTGCTGCCCCCCTCCGTGCCCCCCGTCGGGGCAGGTCCTACCGCCATCGCCGGCCCTCCTGCCGCTCCCCTCGCGACCACAGCCGCTGGCTTCTACTCCCCTGCCGTCGCTCATCCCCAACCGCCGCATCTGCTGACCGGGAGATCGAGAACCTCCCCACCTCACGAGGCTGTACGACAGCTCTCCACCGTCATCGGTTTTGCAGCTTGGCGTGCCGGTGCCGGCGGTGCCGCCGCAGATTCCGACCGTGGGCTTGGGGTCGGGACCTCCCCTTCGCGGCTCGCCACAGATCGGTCTGCCGGACCGCCGTCTTCGCTGCTGCCGCTGCCAGCAGCGGCGGGGCGTCGGCCTTTCCATCCCGCCTATTCCCATCCTAAGCCTGAGCCGTCGCTGCCGCCTCAGGGTGGCCTAGGTACGGCGCCTGGTGCCGCCGCCTCCACCTCCGCCACCTGCCCCAGCACTTCCTCCCCGTACTACAACCGAATGCAGGGCTCAGCTAGCCGCCTAAGAAGTCGCGATGACATGTCGGGTGCCGTCGGCTGTGCTACGGACTCTCCGTCGGGCCGTGAAGCTCCCGCTACCGCCTCCGGCACCGGTTCAGACGGCGCGGCACCTGGTGTTGTTGGACGGGTACGGCAGGTGGCATCGGAGATCCTGCACGCCGCGTCGGACCTGTTGCTGTCGCTGCCGCGCCCCGGCGCCCGATCGCCACTGCTGCCACTGCAGCAGCGTCAGCAAGGGACACAGACGCAGGCGCAGCGTCAGCAACGTCGACTGGGTTGGTTTGGAGTGTACGGCCACGCCGGCGGGTTGCGATCTGCCAGTGACGGTGGCGCCCAGCTGCCGTACTCGAGCTTGCCGCGAACGGAAGCGGAAGCGGAGGTGCAGGCCGGCGGTGGCGGCGGCGGCGGCGGAGCCGGTGTCACTGGGTCCTTTGACCAGCTTGGACGGCGCTGGCGGAGTGCCGGCGGCGTCGCCGCCACCGCCACCGGCGACTGCGGCGGTGTGCTAAACGACTGGTCTCTTATTGGATCTCATCTCCACAGCCCTCTAGATGTGGAGGCCGCGACGGCGGCGGCGGCGGCGGCGGTGGTGACGCCCGACGGCTCAGGCGAAGCACAGGGGTTACCGACCGCCGGCGCCGCCAACACCGCCCCCTCACCGGCCCCTCCTCCTCCTCCTCTTCGGCTTCCTGAAGTCGACTGTAGCGGTTGGCGGTTGGTAGTTACGGGCCACAGTCTGGGTGCGGGCGCTGCCGCCCTGCTAGCTTTGCGGCTGCGGTCCGCGCTGCCGCATGTGGAGGTCCGCTGCTGGGCCTTCGCCCCGCCCGGCAGCCTGACCAGCCCCTCCCTCAGCGCGGCCCTCCGCCCCTTCACCACAAGCGTGGTCACGGGCAAGGACCTCATCCCCCGCCTAAGTCTCAACACCATGGAGCGATACCGGGATGAGATGATCACAGCGTTGGCTAGGTGCAGGTAACGGAGGTCTGGGGGCACCAGGGGCTGGCCGGGTGGTTTGGTTTTGGAAAGAGGACGACCGAAGGCCCCGACAACCTGGCTTGATCTTGATCTTGACCTTTCCCACTTGCTGCCTTGTGACTGTTATCCCTAACATTTCCCCGCCTCAGGCGGGTTTCCCAAAACACACAGCGCCCTTTCCTTTTACTCGGAATCCTCAGCTTGGTCCCACCACCACAATATTGATAATAATAATATTAACATTGAGACAGTCAACCGGCCATGGGCTCCCCACTGCCCGGGGCTTTCATTACAGACCGCCGCCCCCCCACTCGTCGTGTGTGCGGACAACTTGTAACACACACACACACACACACTCCTCCTCCTCCTCCCGTCCCTCCCCTCCCTTCACTGTACACCCGGTTGGGGTGCAGGTGCAGTAAGGCCCGGGTGCTGGTGGGCAGCTTCAGTCGCCGGAACCGCCTCCGGAGAGCCGCCCACCTACTGCTGCCGTACGATGAGATACCTGCTCAGGCCCGGCGGCTGCTCCGGAGCTACCACGAGGCGGTTCACCGGGCGGGGCGGCTGCCGGAGCTGCACCCGCCGGGGAGGGTGAGCGGGAAGCGCGAGGTGTACACTTGTGTGTGTGGGGGGGTATGTGGGTAGGTTGGGGCGGGAGACTTGGAATATATATGCATGTCCTCATGACCTGCTGCTGCTGCTGCTTCTCCTACTGCTCCTGCTGCTACGGTTGCTAGTTCCCCCTTTTCCTTCCGCCCTCCCGCCCCCCCGCCCTCCCCCCCCTCCCCACATTCGCTTACTCCGGATGTCGGCAGTCGAATATGGCTGTCCGCATGCGGCTCCCAACCGTGTGTCCCCCCCGCCGCCCGCTGCAGATCCTGTACCTGCAGCCCAGTGCCCGGGCAGCCTCAGTCGACAACAAGGACGACGCTAGGGGAGGACACCCCCACGGACCGAGGAGGGCACCGGGAGCCAGTGGTGGTGGTGGTGGCGAAGTCCCTCGCGGGCCCCCCCCTCCCCCGTGCCCCCACTTCCGCCCCGTGTGGGTATCTGCTCGGGAGCTGCACTGCGAGGGCATCCTGGCCTCCACCCGGATGCTGGTGGACCACAGCCTGACGATGTGTACCTTGCCGGCGTTGGATGAGATACTGGGCTCGTAGAAGAAAGAGGGGGGAGGGGTGTGTCGCAGGAGAGGAGAGGGTTTGACAGTTGAGCGGCGTCGAAAAAGAGGAGGAGGCGACGGAATATGGCGGCGGCGTGAGAGGGAGGAGGCAGATGTCTTTTTTGTTGTTGATGTTGAAGTTTGGAATCTCCTAGGTACTGGGGCTGGGCTCTGATCTGGAGGCGAGGAGGAGGTGGAGGAGGAGGAGGTGGAGGAGGAGGAGGTGGAGGAGAAGCGGAAGAACTCCCCTCTGGGGAGACCCGGGTGTGCTGATGGCGGCGATACGTGCACATACACACCTACATGTCATGCATAAAGACAGGTATCGGTATGAGCACAGGCGGCCCACATACCGCCACAGCTGCGAGTGCTGGTAGCTCATAGGTCCGCGACATGTATGCACACATAAATAATACGTACATACAAGCATACGCACACTCTGGGTGGCTGTGTGGTGAGCATCGACGGAGGATCGCTCCATTATCTTGGATCACGCGCTCCGTCTGCGTGGGCTCAGACTAGGACTATTTTAAAGCTTGCCGGGGTAGAAGCTGGCCCCTGTCATACAACGTACGGCATAGGGGGGCGCGGGTCGTTATGGACGGCGGGCTTCAAATCCGTTTGTTCCTGGGAACCCTGCCTTGTGCATTTTCCTAGCCCTTGGGCCACTTGGCATCCACATGCGTACAGAGACCTTACTTGTCACGTGGCCACAATGAAACGCATGCATTTAGTGGGCCCAGTCGCCTTTTTGAAAGAGGACACGAGCAGGATGGCCTTTGGCTTAAAAGGGAGGCGGTTGCGATGGTAATGCTGAGTAGATGGGCTGAACATGGAGGAGGTTACAGATGGAGATAGTTGTGGTGGTTGCGCATTATGGCTTGGAAGGATTGTAAGCGAAAGGCTTTGCAAACGGCCCGCTGGTTGTAGCTGTCTTACTAGGATCGTGCCTAGGTATTTAAAGTAAAGTGTCAAATGTGATTGCAAAGCCGTTCAGCTCGTCGAACGGCTTTTCAGTGCTCGATTGGAACCGCGGGTCTGGAAGAGGGCTTCCTTCGATAATGTCGGCCTAGGTTGCGATTCAGGGATAGCAATCAAACGGTGTTTTGCTGTCTGAGGTATGCTTTGCGTTAAGCAGCGTAAAGTCAAACATCGGTCATACGGCATTTGTAATACCGTGCAGTTGGTGCCGTGGTTCACAACTTCACATCGTCTCTCCAATTGCATTACGACAACGATTATACGGTCACTGTCTTTGAATGTATCAATTTATGAAACTTCCGGAACTCACGACCTGGACCAACAAGAACGCTGTTTTATGTGTCGATGTGTTTGTATCGCTATGCCCCGTAATACTTGATGCTTTACCTCGCTATGGGTTTCAGCATTAAGTAGTGTTCGCCATCGACTTTTGCGCCGCCAACCGAAGAAACAATATGTCGCAGCGTGATGCAGACACTTTCATTTCAAACAACGAAAGGGATTTCATCCTCAAGGTGCAAAGCCCACATCTTTCAAGAGACAGCATCCAACGGTCATACCAGCCAACCCGGGTTTGTGCCTTGCACCATCACAGGCGCTCTCAGAGGAATGCCGACTTGACGGCCGGCGACCTTACGACCTGCGAAAGCCCAAGTTCCAGGTAAAGAATAACTTCAGCCCTGACACCACATCCCCGGCCTTCCGTCGCTCCTTTCCCCTGCACCATGCACTCTCCTCCCCCAGACGTACACACCCTCCCTCTTCGCCACCCTCCGCTCCTTTTCCGCTTCTTCCAGTTTTCCCTGGATGACCGCAGCGCCACCGTGGCTCTTGGCAGCACCCGGGTCCTTAGTGTGGTAACGGCCTCCCTGGAGGTTCCCTTCCCCGACCGGCCCAGCGAGGGGCCCCTGCGCTTCAATGTGGAGTTCTCACCCATGGCCTCCCCCGCCTTCGAGCCAGGCAGACCAGGCAGGCAGGGGGAAGCTTGGGACCCGACCCAGGGGCTGGGGCTGGGGCTGGGAAGAAGGCGCAGGTTTTCTGAGTTGCTGAGGCGCCGGCCGAGCTGTCGGGGCTGTTAGGGTGCAGGCCACGTGACACTTGCCAGGGTGGGCAACGGGAGCCGACTCTGGGCGGTGGGAAGAGTAAAGGAGGGAGGGGGGTGGGGGATTAGGAGGGAACGTCTTCAAGACGACTTAAGATAAATGGGATTTCGTTTGGGAATAGGTCTGGGGTAATTGGAAAGGAGGAAGGATGGAGTGAAGTTCTCCCCACTTTCCGCCCACCACCCTGCCCGGATAACTCCCCCTCCTTCCGCCCCTCCCCGTCTACTTCATTATCCCTCTCCTACTCAGGCGAGGACGCCATTCAGATTGCTCGGCTGATTGAGAGGGGATTGCGCCAGAGCGGAGCGGTGGACCAGGAGGCCTTATGTGTGGTAGCGGGGAGGAAGGTACGGGGGTGTGTGGGGGAGGGAGAGAGGGGGATTGGAATTCACGCGTATGGATCACAGGACGGTGGAAGTGGAACAGGCGTGTATACAGGCGTGTATGTGTGCGGAATTCCCTGTGCAGCTCTGACCTCTTCCAGGACGCGTCCCTCGGCCTACTCACGGTAGTGGTACTACTGCCATTGCTGCCGCGGCTATGCTGCTGCTACTGCAACAGTTCCTGCTGCTCTCACTGCCACTAATGCTACTACTGCTGCTGCTGCTGCCGATGTGTCCAGGTGTGGTCTCTCCGAGTTGACTGTCACGTGCTGGACCACGGGGGCAACTTGCTGGATGCGGCCTTCCTGTCCTCCCTGGCCGCACTGATGGCCTTCCGCAAGCCCGAGGTGGAGGTGGGCGGGGAGAGCGGTACGGACATCCTGGTGCACCCCCCGGAGGTGCGGGAGCCGCTGCCACTCACCATACACCACCTGCCAGTGGCCGTCACATTCGGACTGTTCCAGGTGGGGGGGGGAGGTGAGGCGGGAGGGGAAAGAGGAGGATAGGATAATACGGGAAAGGAGCTAAAGACAAATCTCCCTCCGATTTTCCGACCTGCTTACACGGGGGGAGGGTGGGGTAGAAGTAGGGAGGAGGGGAGAGGAGCTGCTTCGTGCGCCCCGCAGGGGAGGGGCCGACAGGAAGTGGGGAAGGAGTGGCTTGGAGGTGTTCTCCCTTGGAGGATAGCTCACGCCGGGTAGCGCTTGGGTGTATCTGTATTGTGTATGCGCTGCTTCATGTATTGCGGACTTGCTTGCGTCATGCCCTCCTCACCTCCATCACCCCCTCCATCTCCCCCCTTCTGCCCCTCCGGGTGATCCTTCCCCGCCCACCACTCACTCTGGACTTTGGCAGCAGTTCGCAGCTTGGGACATATGGGCACCTCACCCCCTCTGGCTATTTTTTTAGTGCGATTCCACATCCCGATGACTTCCCCATCCCCGCGCGTAAACTCATACATACATACATACATACATACATACATACATACATACATACATACATACATACATACATACATACATACTGGAATACACTAGGGTTTGGCACTACTGGTAAGGCACGGACCATTGCCCCCGGGAGATCCCGGGATAGATACACGTTAGGGTCAAAAATCCTTCCGATGGTGGAAGGTATTGCGCCCCTAGTTGATGGACGGTGGTGACCTGGGATAAAGTTAACCTGCGAGTCGACCAGGAATGGAGTTGGGCCGCTATCGACCCGGCAGATTCCGTTGGATGCTGGTGGTGGGTGCGGAACCTGAGCGATCCACTGAGAAGTTGACTAGGGTGACTGGATGAGGGTGCCCCGAAATACCGGGGAAGGCAGGGTTTCGCAGGGTAGCTGCCACGGGCGAAGATATACCCCCCTGTTTCACACATCATACTGGATGTGCTGATGGTGCGTGCTGGACCCGAAAATGCCACTGACGTTTCAGAAGTCGGCATGGGTCAGAAGCATGAGGGTGCACCCAAACACACCCGGGAAGGTAAACACTGCCAGGCTAGTGGTGGCCACGGATGAAGCTATTGCCCCCTTCTTCACACAATCGTATAAATATAAATGTATAGTTCCACGAGTGGAACAGTATACATTAACAAAACAGGATTGTCCAACACATAGACACATGCGCACGCATGCAGGGTGGTGACCTGCTGGTGGTGGACCCCAGCTGGCGCGAGGAGGCGGCCGCCAGCGGGTCGTGTACGGTGGTGATGAACCCGGGCAGGGAGGTGTGCTGCGTGCACAAGGCGGACGGCATCGGCCTCACCCCCGACCAGTTCATGCGCTGTGTACGGCTGGCGGGCGACAAGGCGGAGCAGCTGGTGGCCGACCTCAAGGCGGCTTTGGAGCAGCACGAAGTGGCCAGAGTGCAGGTGCGTGTGTGTGTACGTGTGTTTGGGGTGCCCCCCAGCCACTGCGGGGTGTTGGTTTAGTGGGGGTGGTGCGGGGAGTGGGAGTGGGTAGTCTGCTCTGAGGCAAGGGGGGACATACAGCCCTAGACAGCTGGAGGGCCCTTGGGGACCTCAGGGCTCGTAAGGGTCCCGAGGTTACATCTTGGGAGAAAAACGCAGCTCAAGGTGTAACACAAACACACACACGCACAAGCTTCCGTTGATTCGTTGCGTCTCGCACATAATTCCCCCTCCGGCCCCTCCCTGGTGCTGTCCCTGCAGGCTCGTGTTCGGCGGCACCAGCAGGTGGTCGGGCTGCCCGACCCGGCTGCCCGACATGTCATGGTGCTAGGAGCGAAGGATCCCGCGGCAACGGGGGCGGCTGGTACAGGGGCTACAGCCAGTGGTGCGAGCACCGTAGCTGCAGCCGCTGCCACTGCTACAGTCGCTGCCTCCAGGAAGAGTGCAGCTGACACTGATGACCTGGATGAAGATGAGGACCTCGGAGATGACGAGGAGGAGGAGGAGGAGGAGGAGGGAGAGGAAGGGAAGAAGATGGAGGTGGAGGACGCCAGGAAGCCAGGGGGGGAGGCATCCGGCGGTGGTGACGATGATGATGGCGGCAATGGTGGTGGTAATGGGGGCGCAGGGAGAGCGCCCCGGGATACGGACATGGGGGAGGTGGCGGCGCCACAGCATCGACACCAGCGGACGCGGCTAGCCGGTCCATTGGTTGCGGCTTCGAAGTCCGGGTATCCGGATGGCGCTAGCAAACGAGGAAGTGGAGCTGGGGCCGGAGCTCTTTCAGGCGCCAACAAGCGGGGGAAGGACGGTGTGGGGTTTGACGAGCTCGAGGCGATTGCGGCTGTCATTGCGGGGGTTACCCCGGGGGCTCCGGAACCAGAGCTCTCAGCAGCCATCAAGCCGGGCAAGCTGCGCAAGTCATCGGGCACCGTGGGAAAGAAGGGGTCATGAAAAACATGCGGGGGCTTGTAATTGCTTCTGTGTGCGTGTGATGTGATTTGTTTAAGGGGGCTTCGTATGTGAGTGCGCGTGTCTTTAAGGGTGTGTAGATCGTACGACTTCTCATTCATGATGGCGGGGTAGAGCTGCTGTGGCACACAACGGTCATCCTGTAAGGCATGTAGGGGTCCATGTGTGTGTCATACTGGTTGGTCGCCTTCGTGGATTTTGTGGGTTTGTGCTTACCCACCCACCCTCCCTCATGCGCATCCACCTATCCACCCGGGTATCCAGAGTCCTCTAGGAAAGCTGGCAATGGGTGCATATCTCCGGTCGACCTTGTGGGGCCTTGTGTTGCGACGTCTTAGACGTTTTGTCTAGGTGCCGTACTTCACCCTAATAGCTCCTGGGAAGACAGACAGCGGGAAAAGACAGTAGCTTCAGCAGCAGCATGCTGCAGGAGCATACCGTGGAAAAAGGACACAACACAACACGTATGCAGGTGGCTCGGTGCTGTCTATGGTCCGTCCAAACAAAACTGAGTTGAACTTGTTTCATAAATATGGTGTGTCCGGTTGCTTTAGCTGCAAAAAGGAAAAATACTGCATGCAGTCTCAGGCAACTCTTTCCAAAACACAGATTGCACCTACAGGCAACAAGCAGACAGCTAATAACAAGGAATTTTCATGGAAGTGTTTGGAGGCTGAACACTGGAAACGCTATCGTACAACACCTCTCCATCGGCATGGACGAAGGGGAGGAGTGTGTAAGGTGGGGGGGGGGGAAAAGAAGTCAGGCTGTTTAAAATCTGCTGCACTGGTGGGTGGACGCCTGCAATAAATCAGCAGGGACTGGAACTAGGCCGTTGGCCTGTCGGTTATGGACAAGCTAAGGGCCTGTGGCCCGTCAGCTCGCTGCGTCGAGAAAACTAAAGTTTCCTGTGAATTGGGAGTGCCGCTGTACGATTTGCATGGACTTGCGTGCGTGGTTGTGCTGGTTACTTCGGGTGTTTGTGTACTACCGCCCTGAAGTAGTTGTTGGTCTGCAGGCCCTAGTTGTCGCTTCGGGGGAGTGCACCCACACCCGGCCCTGTTTTCATTGCTTGCCAGCTACATATGTTTCCTTTTTGCAACGAAGGCTTCCCGCGAAAACATACATGAATACGCACTGGAGCACATGTTCCTCGCATCTCGAGAGGCCTTTTTGGCCTGGGCCGGCTACTACCCCCTCAAGGCATACATGCACGAACACAGGGTACTTTTTTATTCCAGCATTCCAATCGGCGGCCAGCGACGAGCGGCCAGCTACATTATTACATTTTTTGCATGAATGAATTGCAGGTCCCCATTTCTTATGTGTTATGCTGGTGTGCACTGACGGCACGGACCCGACCAATACATCGATAGAGCCCTGTTTGCAGCTGGTTGCTGACGCATTACCTGCACCTTGGTATGCAGTAGGTTGTATCAACCTAATCGCATCGCATTTTTCTGTTCTTTTGTCGTACGGCACGGTGCACAGGTTCAGCCGTAGCACTCGTACAGTACGGCATGTGGCGTATGCTTGGTGCTGCCGTACATCCATCTGCCAGACCTGCTCGGTTAGCTCAGTCGGTAGAGCGCACGGCGGTTAACCGTAAGGTCGACGGTTCGATCCCGTCATCGAGCGCAGAGAGGTGAGGATGTGCAGGGGTCGTAGCTCAAATGGTAGAGCGCCCGCTTAGCATGCGATGCTGAGCGCCGCAGATGATGTGCGGGAGGTAAGGGGATCGATGCCCTCCGACTCCAACGGACAGAACTATTACTGTGTGCACGTGCACTCAACCCATTGAAACACGACAGGCTTTATGCTGGGGAAGGTGATAAGGAAGGAAGGTACAGAGTGTGCTGTCCCGGGAAGGCTGTTTTGGAAGTGATCCCGGGACAGATTCTTGAACAGAAGAGGCTGGATGGATGCCAATCGATTCCATTGCTGATGGCCGAGATGATGGAACCACTGGTGTAGTGACACACCTGCAAAAGCCGACCCGGAGTGGAAACTTGCTGCTGCCGCCGTTGATTCCAGGCACAGATTCCACGGGATGTGCTGATGGTGCGTGCTGGACCCGAAAATGCCACTGACGTTTCAGAAGTCGGCATGGGTCAGAAGCATGAGCATGAGGGTGCACCCAAACACACCCGGGAAGGTAAACACTGCCAGGCTAGTGGTGGCCACGGATGAAGCTATTGCCCCCTTCTTCACACAATCTCATAGCTTTGTAAGCGAAGCGTCGAGAAAACTAAAGTTTCCTGTGAATTGGGAGTGCCGCTGTACGATTTGCATGGACTTGCGTGCGTGGTTGTGCTGGTTACTTCGGGTGTTTGTGTACTACCGCCCTGAAGTAGTTGTTGGTCTGCAGGCCCTAGTTGTCGCTTCGGGGGAGTGCACCCACACCCGGCCCTGTTTTCATTGCTTGCCAGCTACATATGTTTCCTTTTTGCAACGAAGGCTTCCCGCGAAAACATACATGAATACGCACTGGAGCACATGTTCCTCGCATCTCGAGAGGCCTTTTTGGCCTGGGCCGGCTACTACCCCCTCAAGGCATACATGCACGAACACAGGGTATTTTTTTATTCCAGCATTCCAATCGGCGGCCAGCGACGAGCGGCCAGCTACATTATTACATTTTTTGCATGAATGAATTGCAGGTCCCCATTTCTTATGTGTTATGCTGGTGTGCACTGACGGCACGGACCCGACCAATACATCGATAGAGCCCTGTTTGCAGCTGGTTGCTGACGCATTACCTGCACCTTGGTATGCAGTAGGTTGTATCAACCTAATCGCATCGCATTTTTTCTGTTCTTTTGTCGTACGGCACGGTGCACAGGTTCAGCCGTAGCAGTCGTACAGTACGGGGCATGTGGCGTATGCTTGGTGCTGCCGTACATCATCTGCCAGACCTGCTCGGTTAGCTCAGTCGGTAGAGCGCACGGCTGTTAACCGTAAGGTCGACGGTTCGATCCCGTCATCGAGCGCAGAGAGGTGAGGATGTGCAGGGGTCGTAGCTCAAATGGTAGAGCGCCCGCTTAGCATGCGATGCTGAGCGCCGCAGATGATGTGCGGGAGGTAGGGTAGGGGGATCGATGCCCTCCGACTCCAACGGACAGAACTATTACTGTGTGCACGTGCACTCAACCCATTGAAACACGACAGGCTTTATGCTGGGGAAGGTGATAAGGAAGGAAGGTACAGAGTGTGCTGTCCCGGGAAGGCTGTTTTGGAAGTGATCCCGGGACAGATTCTTGAACAGAAGAGGCTGGATGGATGCCAATCGATTCCATTGCTGATGGCCGAGATGATGGAACCACTGGTGTAGTGACACACCTGCAAAAGCCGACCCGGAGTGGAAACTTGCTGCTGCCGCCGTTGATTCCAGGCACAGATTCCACGATGGTGCGTGCTGGACCCGAAAATGCCACTGACGTTTCAGAAGTCGGCATGGGTCAGAAGCATGAGCATGAGGGTGCACCCAAACACACCCGGGAAGGTAAACACTGCCAGGCTAGTGGTGGCCACGGATGAAGCTATTGCCCCCTCCTTCACACAATCTCATAGCTTTGTAAGCGAAGCGTCGAGAAAACTAAAGTTTCCTGTGAATTGGGAGTGCCGCTGTACGATTTGCATGGACTTGCGTGCGTGGTTGTGCTGGTTACTTCGGGTGTTTGTGTACTACCGCCCTGAAGTAGTTGGTCTGCAGGCCCTAGTTGTCGCTTCGGGGGAGTGCACCCACACCCGGCCCTGTTTTCATTGCTTGCCAGCTACATATGTTTCCTTTTTGCAACGAAGGCTTCCCGCGAAAACATACATGAATACGCACTGGAGCACATGTTCCTCGCATCTCGAGAGGCCTTTTTGGCCTGGGCCGGCTACTACCCCCTCAAGGCATACATGCACGAACACAGGGTATTTTTTTATTCCAGCATTCCAATCGGCGGCCAGCGACGAGCGGCCAGCTACATTATTACATTTTTTGCATGAATGAATTGCAGGTCCCCATTTCTTATGTGTTATGCTGGTGTGCACTGACGGCACGGACCCGAACAATACATCGATAGAGCCCTGTTTGCAGCTGGTTGCTGACGCATTACCTGCACCTTGGTATGCAGTAGGTTGTATCAACCGAATCGCATCGCATTTTTTCTGTTCTTTTGTCGTACGGCACGGTGCACAGGTTCAGCCGTAGCAGTCGTACAGTACGGGGCATGTGGCGTATGCTTGGTGCTGCCGTACATCCATCTGCCAGACCTGCTCGGTTAGCTCAGTCGGTAGAGCGCACGGCTGTTAACCGTAAGGTCGACGGTTCGATCCCGTCATCGAGCGCAGAGTGGTGAGGATGTGCAGGGGTCGTAGCTCAAATGGTAGAGCGCCCGCTTAGCATGCGATGCTGAGTGCAGCAGATGATATGCGGGAGGTAGGGGGATCGATGCCCTCCGACTCCAACGGACAGAACTATTACTGTGTGCACGTGCACTCAACCCATTGAAACACGACAGGCTTTATGCTGGGGAAGGTGATAAGGAAGGAAGGTACAGAGTGTGCTGTCCCGGGAAGGCTGTTTTGGAAGTGATCCCGGGACAGATTCTTGAACAGAAGAGGCTGGATGGATGCCAATCGATTCCATTGCTGATGGCCGAGATGATGGAACCACTGGTGTAGTGACACACCTGCAAAAGCCGACCCGGAGTGGAAACTTGCTGCTGCCGCCGTTGATTCCAGGCACAGATTCCACGGGATGTGCTGATGGTGCGTGCTGGACCCGAAAATGCCACTGACGTTTCAGAAGTCGGCATGGGTCAGAAGCATGAGCATGAGGGTGCACCCAAACACACCCGGGAAGGTAAACACTGCCAGGCTAGTGGTGGCCACGGATGAAGCTATTGCCCCCTTCTTCACACAATCTCATAGCTTTGTAAGCGAAGCGTCGAGAAAACTAAAGTTTCCTGTGAATTGGGAGTGCCGCTGTACGATTTGCATGGACTTGCGTGCGTGGTTGTGCTGGTTACTTCGGGTGTTTGTGTACTACCGCCCTGAAGTAGTTGGTCTGCAGGCCCTACTTGTCGCTTCGGGGGAGTGCACCCACACCCGGCCCTGTTTTCATTGCTTGCCAGCTACATATGTTTCCTTTTTGCAACGAAGGCTTCCCGCGAAAACATACATGAATACGCACTGGAGCACATGTTCCTCGCATCTCGAGAGGCCTTTTTGGCCTGGGCCGGCTACTACCCCCTCAAGGCATACATGCACGAACACAGGGTATTTTTTTATTCCAGCATTCCAATCGGCGGCCAGCGACGAGCGGCCAGCTACATTATTACATTTTTTGCATGAATGAATTGCAGGTCCCCATT